AAAGGCCCATGTGGTTGTCCTGATTCCAAGGGTGTGAAAGGCCAGAACCAATGACAAGATAGAGTTGAGAATCCCAAGCAATTACATCGCCAAGGTGTGGACACTGGAATACCAGCAACTGAGCGCCAGGGGAGGCAGTTGAAACGATGCTTGATTCCTTACTGCCAGTGTCTACACCACATAGATTATTCCAGAATCCCGCTTCGATCAAACGCAAAACGGTCAAACAGCCGAGCACATCGCATGTCAGCTTTGCGGCCAAAACATCGTGTCTGAGCGCCCCAAGACCAACACTCCCCGGACTTCCGCCAAGATCCGGGAGCCAACATCACGACTGGAAAAGATGGGGTAGAATTGAGCCACGCTGATTCAAGCGAATCGAACTGAACATTAATGTCGTATGGTATCATTGATAATTACATGATGCAGATTCCTCTGTTGCATTCCTAAATAAGTTCGGAGCAGTTAGCTGTTTGCTCCCGTATCGGATTATTGAGACAAGACCAACCCCTTTATCGCGAGCGACGCAGATCTACACATCGCCAGATTAGCCGAATTGCGCTGAAAATTCCAGTTGGGTAAAATTGGTCACCTACACAGTTCTCGGCTCGGTCGTGTCGGCAGCACACCTGACCTTCTTGGGGATACACGGCGCGCTTCGTCAGCAGAGCAGGGCTTGCGGCCGTCGCAGCGGCAGCGAGAACGACGAGAGATAGAAAGAACTTCATCTTGGCAACGAGGCTAAGTAGAACCGTTGAGCTACTGGATAAATTGTCGCGTGATCAGGATCGAAAGACAAGGGAAATGAGCGTGAAGAAAAAAGGCTGCTATTTAATGTCTTCTCATTACGGAACCGCGGTCTCAACTTTTGGCACAGGCTTTGCATGCGTTTTCAAGCAATTGAAACTTGTACGGCAGCGCATTGTTCTGCGCTCTGACGAAACTTCACGTTGTCGGCTATCAGCCGAACGCTAATCATTGCGAGTCCATGCGTGTACGACTCTTTGATAAAAGTCGTCCTCAGCGCGTTTGGGAATCTGAATAAGTTCCCCCAGCACATGTCCAGGTGCACAGTCAGCGGATCTGTTGCTCCAGTCAGCATGAATTCCAGCTCGACGAATTCTCTGGAGAGGATGGCTGGGTTGCTTATATCAATGACGTCAAGACTCGGTTGAATATCACAGCTTCAGCGACTTTGAGTATCCGTTGGTTTCTTAGAGCTGACAGCAAGAGATGGCATTCAGTGATAGAAATTGTCGTTCGAAGAAGGCATCGTGTCGAAAGGCTAGTACGCATGGCCACTAGGTAGGTTAGAGAGCCCATCTCATCTTCCTGCATCCCCCCCATGGTGATTTTCGCACAGATGATATGATCCTAGGCCAATAACACGCTTCATTATTGGCAAAGTGGGACAATTCGGTAGGTTCTGCCAAGAAAAATATTGGCTGAGACCAACTCATATCAGCGAAGAGGACTTCCTCGTTCCGTTGCATATGCCCCCGCTATACAAGATCTTTAGGGCTCTTCTGCCGTTCGTCTACGAAGACAGACACCTGCATCGTCTTTGTGATGCCTTCACCACCACTGCCGTGGTCCGGAATAATGCTTTCCTCCGAGCCCATCTTGGATCCAAAGCCTGAGCGAATCGCCGCTGTATGTCGAGACTGGCTAAACATCTCGAAGTTTCCTTCTGGAGTGCGCGCCCTTCTTGACTTGCTTGCATTCTTGTTCCGCATGTACCCATCATTGTTGTACTTTGACGAGTTGTATTGTTCGGCTGACGACCCAGAGAGTATGGCCTTGAATAGCGGCTTGAGACATGGTATCGAGGCTGCAATTATCGCTGTGCATATTTCGACGGTCGTCCTTTGAAGCGCAGATTTTAGAAAACGGGGGCTCGTCGTTGAAGGCCATTGAGACTGCCGAGAGCTTACCAGATTGTTATGTCAGTGCTGTTGAATAGGAAGTCTCCGTGCTTCCCATAACCCGACAGGAAAGATATCTTGATAACTGCTGCTATAGTCGCACTGGGAATGGCTGTTAGCGAGGTCGAGCTTCACGCTCGCGCAGAATACTCACAAAATCCCGAGAGAAAGCACTCCGATGACGGCAGATTTGACTTTCCAATTCAGTTGCACCTTCCACATGATTGGTACTGGTAATAGAGCGAAAAGGAGATCGGTGAAGACAGATACACCTGGCAACTGTTAGTCTAGAGACACGCGTAGCCTCCGTGAAGAGGGGCGTTGTGTAACTTACTCGAGTTGAAGAAGGCGGCGAACTTGAGATCTGCTTGCGGAATGCACTTTCCGCCTTCAATAGAGAAATCCCAAGTGAATGCTAACGGCTGGCATTGGAAGAAGACGGTCACTAAGTGATATCAGCGCGAGATCGGAATGATCCCTCCATTCAGACTGGAGATTTAGACGTCGATCAACCCACAGAAGTTACCAAGTGCCGAAAAGACCGTAAAAATGATTATTCCCCAGATGACGTGTCGAAATTTTCCCGATGGCGTTATCCGCAGAAGAAACATGCCTACACTAACTTTGGCCAAACACAGCGCAATGAGGCACAAAGGCTGCGTGACGAAATTGAGGTGAAGGCCTGTGACGATGTTGCTCTTCGGTTCGATGTATTGGATGTGTCGGCCTGCGCCATACTGGACTTCGGGAATGATGACCATCATTTCTGCGAAGATAGTGACCTTGACAAAGACGTTTTCCTTAGCTTCATCCTTCTTACAACCTAGTCCGCACCTTCGCCGACAAGCCGAACAAGAGATCTTACCGTCGCTGCGATCATGAAGTAGTCGTCGAGGCCGACAAGCCGGACCATTTTCGCCCTAACCCATATTCTCAAGATGACAACGGCCACCGAAAGGCCGACCAGAGTTCCGCACACTACGAGGATCTCGCTGCCTCTATTGATGTCGGGTGGAAAGGGGACCGAGTCGTCCATGGCGGACTAGCCTGCAGGGACAACCTTGGAAGCAGTGATTCGGAAGTGCAAACAAGACTTCTTGGTGATTGAACAAAGTCTTGGTTTCCTTCCCCAGCTCAAGATGGCCCGCATCAGCTGGGCCACGCTGTCACTTTGTGGCACATGGCTCATGTTTTCCTTTCACCATTTGAGCTATCTCCTTTAGGTTGAAGGCCTGGGAATATAATGATATTTGCCCACTCTCGGTGATTGACTCAGTATCCTGCGAAGAATTTGACACCATATTCCAGGGGTCACCGTAGATCAATCAGAGCTGCGGAGTACATCTTGTCAAAGTTGGTCAAAGTTTCCAACATGGTTCATCTTTAAACAGATCCGCATCCTTACCACATCACGAACATGTTGGCAGGGGTGGCATCCTTCAACGGGTCTATCAAAGTGCCTATCTCATATGCACCTGCAATCCAGCGAATGGATCTCTCACCACAAGAATATGTTAAAACAGGACTTGTCGTGCTCGCAATGGGATCCGATGTGGTGGTGCATCATTCGGAGATCAGGCTGCATCTGTACATTTACTTGCCAAGATCCGATTGCGGCAGTCAGTACTGCCGGCTCAAGAACCGTTGGCTTGGGTCAGGGGTAAGTCATGCTCAGGATTACACAGTAGCAGCGATTGGTAGGTACCAACACTCATTGAATCTCACAGTTGCCCTGCTCGAGAGGTTATTCTCGACTTATTTTCGACGGGGACAGCCGCGTCGCATGCTAGCTGCCTTTTGCGACATTAACGTGTCAACTGGGCCTTGCCAACTGGGTATTATGTATGACCGAAAACTTTGACCGGCCTGGCATCGTCTGTTCTGTGATGCCTGTAGTGTAATTGCACATTGCGCTTTTCAAGCTACGAATACTCACCAACTCGTCCTTCACCGGAGAATTGATCGCTGCAGTGACGAATGCAACTAGGCACAGTGCAAGGATTGAACCGACGGGATACTGGAACGATCAATGCGTTCCATCGTGTTCATGTTGACGCAACTTGTATTTTTGATCAGACGCTCCACACTGAACTCACACAATACACATACAATTTCCCCTCGGGTTCGAAGCCTTGCGGCAGGAATACGTAAAAGAACCTGGCTTTGGGATGGCTGAGCGGAATCTCTTGACATCTACTTCTTAACGTTCATTTTCAGAGCATTAGGTCAAGCCCGGGGTCAGGAAATTACCCGAGTAGGCTCCATGACCGAGGTACTTCAGGTCCCGGGCAACTTGGAGCCCCGGAAGACAGAACGGCCAAGAAGTGACTCATGGGGACTACGACGAGCAATTCAATGGCTAGGGAAGACTCTGTCATTCCAATACGACTCGAACAACTTGACCATATACATCTTTGAGGGTGGTGTGCCGGCCATCAAAGACTCTTGAGTATGCGCCGTCTATTTGCTGACCCCGGCGCCCCCCCTCCCCCCCCCCCCCGGTATATCTAAAGGTGTCTGCACCGGGATGAAACGGTGGCTGCTCTTCTGTAGAATGCTGCTATGCCGTATAGAGGTAAGTACCATGGTGATGGAGCGATACATAGCCACGGTTACCAAGTTACAAACATGAAGACAATTAGGGTGCGGGTACGGCAGGGCGGCACAGGCGGAAAGTGAGGTAAGCATGCGGTGAGCTTGGTGAGGTCTTTGAGATAGTTGAAAATTGAGTTGGTTGGTTCGGATACAGCCAGGCTTCTTGCCTTGCCACTCCACCGCAACATCGCAGGCATCTTGCATACAGCGCCGCAGACCTGCATCGGTTGCCGACTCAAAATGATTTAGCATATTTTGATCGAGCCACTGAAGCTTCCTATCGAAATGACTGTGGAAATTCTCCAACTTACCGGCATGGTGGTCCGCAAGACCCCTGCTGCGTGCGCTACTACGCTCGCCTTTATTAGTCTCGGTAACTGCTGGTCAGTGCCGCTGTCTCTCCCAACCTTTGTCGTGACCAGAGCGACAAACACCTTCTTGTGATCTGCATCTCATTTCAATTTGACAGAGCTGTGCAACATGAAGGTTTCGTCCGTCCTCTCATCAGCCGCCCTGGCATCGGTCGTGTTCGCCGCGCCTTCGGTCAAGCCACGCGGCGACTCAACCACAGACGGGGCTCAGTTTGCCGATCTCACTGCCAGCATCCAAGCTAATGTGTTCAAGTCACTAGATGAGCGGGAGGCCAGGTTGAAAAAGCGCGGTGAATCAGCCAACTGCACGACAAGCAACATGGTCTTCCGTCGGGAGTAGTAAGTGCTGGAATTTGGGCTCAAAATCATAGCCGATGACTGACAAGCAAATAGTGGCTCGCTTTCATTGACCGAGAGGCTTTCTTATGTGAACGCCGTCAAGTGTCTTCAAAGTCTGCCGCCACGAACGCCGGCTAATGTCTCCTCTGGTGCTCGATCTCGGGTATGTAATATCATCCCTCGGCTTTGTCCGAACTTTTTGCGCGGTAACCCGGACTCGACTGACTCGCTACACAGTTTGATGACTTTGTCGTGACCCATATTCAGCAGACCATGACGATCCACTACACGGGTAACTTTATGCCATGGCATCGCTGGTTCGTGCATCTCTACGAGAAGGCTTTGCGCGAGGAATGTGGCTACACCGGCTATCAACCTGTGAGTTTAGACCAAATCTTGACGGTTGATTTCCTTTCGCTCATTGTGAGATATCAGTACTGGGACTGGCCTAGGTACGCTTCTGCGCCTGAATTATCCCCTATCTTCAACGGGGACCCTTACAGTCTCGGCGGAAACGGCGAGTACATCCCCCATGATGGGCCTGTCATTGAGCCTCCCGTGGGAATTGGCGGCTCAAGCATCCAGCTGCCTGCTGGTGTCGGCGGAGGTCTCGTGACTACTGGGCCTTTTGCAAACATGTCTGTCAATCTTGGCCCGGTCGGGGGCCTTGAGGGCACGGCGCCCGGGCCGGATGGTGGCCTGGGCTACAACCCTCGCGGTTTGAAGCGCGACGTGGGCCCGGCTATGAACCAAAGATACGCGAACTACACAACGGTGTTGAGTGAGTACCTCTGCCAGCGCCTATCAAGTGATGACCGATGCTGATCGACCCTCAGACTTGTTGCTCAAGCCCAACATCTCGGAATATAGGCTTTTGAGCGAGGGAGTTCCTTACACCCCTGAGATTGGACCTCATGGAGGAATGCACTATGCCATCTCCGGTGATCCAGGTGCGGATCTTTTCACGTCCCCTGGCGACCCTGCATTCTGGGTTCATCACGGTATGATGGACCGCATGTGGACTTTTTGGTAAGTCTTCCATTCGGGTAAATCATCGTATCCAATGGACTCTTCTAATATCTGGCTCTAAGGCAAGCGCTGGATCCTGCCGCACGTCAACAGGAATTGAACGGAGGTGATTACGGTCACATTACCTGGGCCAACAGCCCGCCATCCGCGAAAACTCAACTCACGGATGTCATTGATATGGGATACTCGGGTCCCTCAATCAAGATTGCAGATGTGATGGACACCTTGTCAGGACCATTCTGTTACTTCTACCTTTGAGTATCCGACAAATACGGCAATGCCGACACAGCTCAGGGTCTGGACGAACATCGGCTGCTTATTCGATGAACATGGAATGATAGACTGAAAGGTATTACATAGTATCTAATGATGTAAGTATGAAGCTATGAAGATACGATATCACGCGATGAAGGGTGGCGATCTTGATGTATGCTGCATGAAGACGATAATAACACGCTATAAGACGCATTTCCACTTCCTTTTGAGCAAGCTATCTAAGTATTGTAGAGCATTGAAGTACCCAGCACATCTCAACTAACCCAGCATAGACTTCAACCATGTTCGAGGCCCCTTCTCAGAGTCGTGCCCCTCAACACCCTTATGCGAGCCCTCGATGATTTCGGTATCAAGCGGCAAAACTCCCAGCTTCCTTGCTTCGTCATCAGTGAAAGTCGCATAGTAGTCCACCTCATCAATAACACCGGCTTCAGGAGGGGGCCAGATGGTGTTGATGCCCAGATGTAACAAGAACGATATGGCGAAACCCAATGGAAACGCTAGGTAGTAAAGATTGATCCAGCCCTCAGCAACTTTGACGCTATCAGGTGTAACGCTAGCAGCAAAACCTGGGAGCTGTGTCGCAAAGCCGCACACCCAGGCGATGAAGGTTCTAGGGTTGAACCCCTTGCAGTAGTAGAAAGAGCCATCTGGACGAGGGTGGTAGAGGTCTGACAGCTTGATTCTGCGTTTGCGGATGATGAAGTAGTCGCAGATTTGGATGCCGATGATGGGACCAAGAAAGACGCTGTAAGCGGAGAGAACGCTGATGAATACCGCCGCCGATGACAAGAGTTCCCATGGGCAGAGCGCAATACTCAGCACGAGACCGATGTAAGCGCCGCGTCTGATGTTGATGTACCGACAGAACAGACCAGACAGATCCATGCCAGCGGAGAAAGCATTATCAACAGAGTTGATACTCAGTTGGATACAGAGGAGACCAAGCCCAGCGAAAAAGGCGCCTGCGCGGCTTTTGGCGTTGTAGTTCGAATCTAGCCATGCTTGGACGATCAAGGGCGGGTTCCAGATCGGCTCGCCGTAGATGACGCCAGTTGCCGAAGCTGCCAAGCAGCCAAAGGTAGGGAAGATGGCTCCAAAGAAGATGATGCTGAACCATTGTCCGAAAACCTGGTCTCCGGGCCTCCGGGCAAAGCGACAGTAGTCCGGCTGGTTGGTCAATCCGACAGCAATACTACCGATAACGGTAGTGATGCCATGTACGATTTGCCAGCCGAGTTCGCTTGAGGACATTTGCTTTGACCCTTGGCGGACTAGAGACCCTGCTTCGCCGGCTGTTGCCAGAGCCCAAATCATGATGGATATGAGTGTTATTGAGGAGATGATGTTGAAAGCCAGAAGAAGTTTCTGGATCCTCTCAGGCCGGATGTAAAGGATGGGAATGAGGAGCACGTTGAAAATGATCCAACCGATGAAGTCTTTGGTGGTAAGGTGTGAGGACTCGGGAAACACGTTGCCTAATGATTCGAATGATGGGAAAATTGCCGAAAGACTGAAATTCGTAAGCATTAATAGGTCACACAGAGGCGATTGATGTTTTGTTTGAGAGGTACTCACCAGTTGACAACTGTCAAACCTCCGGTCCACGACTGTACAGCAAACCACACCAAACTGAGAATGATTCTCTGAATGAGGATTATGTACTGCCCGTACACGCCCCAGATATACCGGGAAACGACTGGGAATCCGATGTGCCAATGTGCGCCGACATGTCCGTTAAAGATGGCAACAAGGGCAATAATTACTTTGCCAATGACAATGGCAATCACGCTTTGCCAGACAGAGAGTCCAGCAGCGACGAGAGATGCTCCGAGTTGCCAATTGGAGACTATCACTTTGTTAGCTTGCCCAATAAATTTATCATGAATAATATTTCACTGACTTGCAACCTGGTTAGTCAACCAGAATGATATGAAAGTTGAAGTTGTCCATCTTCTACGGTTTGGAGGAAGGGGTCTGATGTCTTCGTTAATCCACACGTTTGATTCAGCGACATCAGTATCGGGCAGCCGAGCCCATCTCAAAAATCCACTGAGACTCATGGTAATAGTAACAAATCCATGGGACTTGTACAAAGACTCCCTATGACATCGCGCCCGGGTGAGGGACATTCGCTTGGTTTAATGATTCCGCAGATAACGAGAGTCCACGCTCACGCGCATCCTAGATGCAGTTCCTCCATATCGGTAATGCTTCTGGTACGTTGCATCGGCGCCCGCTTGGCAGACCTTCGCGTCATCCAAAACCTCGGCCGATAACCTAGACACCAGCGTTTGGTATGTGTAGCTATCAACTTAGGCTATTTCTTATCGTTGGAGAATGCCTCCAAACGCACCTTAGGTGTGAAGCTCTTATCAAAGTTTCACGCGAGGGTGGAGCAAAGCCGGTGATAAGAACGGCATTTGGCAAAGTCTGGAGATCAACAAACCCAGGGGATCCAAGTTTACCCCGCAACATCATCGTTCGGCATCTGGTGTCCAGACCTCTAACCGCATGGTTGCACGGAGTAGCCAAGCGGTTGTACCTGCCTGATTATCATTCATTATCTATCCTTTGCGCCATCTTAAAGACTAGTGGCAGACAGTATCTGACCGTGGCCGTGGTCTTGGGAGCCCATTTAACCGCTTCATCCGCTCAAGCGGCATGCCTGTGGGATGATCTCCGACGGCACGAGCTTTGGCCAAGAGCTTGCGACGTTGCCATTCGGGGTCTGCCAACACGAATAGCTTGGAGCCAAAGGAATGAGCGCTGATTAGATATATGAGACTGGGACAGTCATACTCAATCAAGTGATTGAACTGAAGACCTGGAGAAAAGCAACAAGCTGACAATATCGCAACAATCAGAGCTGTTGAGCGACCAAAGTACCAACATGGGAGAGATGCCACCGTCACAACGTACTGTTCGGATTGGAGTTGATGTTGGAGGTGAGTCTGGAAGCTCCAACCGTCGGCTCAAAACACAAATGAGTGTCTCAACCCGGAAACAAGATTTTACATATTGAAGAGACGCATTTTCTCAAAAGGAGACTTCGCTGACAATGAGTTTTCGAAGGAACGAATACGGATGCTGTCGCAATCGATTTAAGTCTCCAAAATACTGCGGACCGCGGGGTTCTAGCGCACTTCAAAACTCCCACCACCCCCGATGCAAGCGCAGGCATCGAGACCGCCGTAAGCACTGTACTCGCCGCCGCCGGCTTGACAGACTCGCCGGAACGAATCGCAAGTGTGACCATCGGAACAACACACTTTATCAATGCAGTCATCGAGCGTGATGTTCGCCGCCTGCAGCGTGTAGGCGTTCTACGGCTCAGCAAATCCTTCTTGCGTGAGGTGCCCGCTTTCGCCGAGTTCCCTCCGGACCTAGCAGCCGTGATCCAGTCTTACGTTGGCATTGTCGACGGGGGATTACACATTGACGGCTCACAAGAGGCGCCAGTGGTAGAATCTCAGGTTGTTGCCGAGTGCGCCAAGATCCGCGAGAGTGGCGTCGGCGCTGTTGTGGTATCTGGTGTCTACTCACCTATCGACGAAGTCTTTGGGCAAGAGGAGAAGGTTCGCGACATCATTCTCCGCGAAGTACCTGGCGTAGATGTTGTGTGCAGCAAGGAGGCGAGTGCGAGCATTGGCTTCATTGAGCGAGAGAATGCCGCTATCCTGAACGGTGCTATCTTGCGCTATGCAAGGAAGACTGTGAGCAGATTCCGTCTCGCAATGAAGAGACTTAACCTCTCTTGTCCTCTCTTTTTGACGCAAAACGATGGCACCATCCTTGACGCGGCGTCTGCGGCCAAGATCCCAATCCGCACATTCTCGAGCGGTCCCACAAACTCAATGCGTGGAGCGGCGTATCTTGCAGGTCTAGACACTGGCGGTGATAGTTCCGCTATTGTGGTAGACATTGGCGGGACTACATCTGACGTCGGCGTCCTGCTTCCTTCAGGCATGCCTAGACAAGCATCGGCGTACGTCACCGTGGCTGGAGTAAGAGTCAATTACTCTATGCCTCACCTCCACTCCGTCGGTCTCGGAGGAGGCTCCATTGTCAGAAACGTGGATGGCAAAGTCAAAGTTGGCCCAGAATCTGTCGGACTCGAGCTGACCACACGCGCACTTGTCTTCAGCGGAGATGTTTGCACGACGACAGACATCGCAGTCGCAGCTGGCAAAGCAGTCGTGGGAAAAGCTGAGCACGCCAAGAGCCTAGACACTACCTTTGTGGAAGAGGCAATCCTCAGCATTCAGGCACTTCTGGAGGGTGCCGTTGACGTTATCAAGACTTCACCCGACCCCGTCCCGGTACTCCTTGTGGGCGGAGGCGCCATTCTATCACCGGAAAGTCTGAAAGGTGCCTCCAAGCTCGTCCGACCGCCGTTCCACGATGTCGCCAACGCTGTCGGAGCAGCCATCGCACGCGTATGCGGCGCTGTTGACATTGTGCAAGGTACAACTCACCAGACAGAAGGGCAAGCCATCGAGAACGCCAAGAAGATGGCCGTCGAGCGCGCTATTGCTGCTGGTGCGATCCCGGAAAGCATCAAGATTGCCGAAATCGAGACGATGCCACTGCAATACGTCGCCAACCAGGTCCGAACACTTGTCAAAGCAGTTGGTGACATTGACCTCCATGCCAAGTTGGAAGAGGTTCTCGAGGACTCAGAGGAAGAGGACGGCGAGGAGCAGGTTGAAGCGACTAAAGACTTGACGCGGGCAACCGTGGAAGAAGAAAAGACTGACCCAGCCAAGTACAAGCCGACCGTTACTCGGAATACAAGCGGTGTTTCGGAATGGCATATCACTGAAACTGACTTGGAGTATCTTGCCGATGGCTGTTACGTGCTGGGATGTGCAGGTGGTGGAAGCCCGGCCGCGTCGAAGATCCAGCTTCGGAATATGCTCAGAGCCGGACACAAGATGCGTGTCATTGAGCCATCCTCCCTGAAGGATTCAGATGTCATCTACTGGGGTGGTAAGTAGACTGATCTCGTTAACGCATGGCGTCTTAGTGATTGACTAACTTCGACCAGGCCACATGGGTTCACCCGCTGTCTCCATTGAACGACTGCAGTCCATCGAGACGGTAGACGCATTCAAGGGCTTGATGGAGTACCTTCGCCATGACAAGTTCGATGCCGTGATGGGTCTCGAGATTGGTGGTGCCAATGGTCTCGAACCTTTCCTCGTTGGCTCATCCCGATTCTACGACAGTCCAATCATTGATGGCGACTGGATGGGTAGAGCGTACCCAACGTACTGGCAAACGACGTTGGCCGTACATGCCCCTTTGGAGCTGGTGCCGTGTGCCATCGATTCCGGAGACGGTAAGACAATCGTCATGACCAGAGCGCCCAACGACGAAATCGTCGACCGCGCTCTACGCGCCTCCTGCTCTGAGATGGGTTCTCGCGTAGGCATGGCAGCCAAGCCTACTACCACCGATAAGGTCAAGAAATTTGGCGTTCTGAATACTGTATCTCTTGCATGGCGTATTGGGCGCTGCATCGCTCTCTGCCAAGCAACCAACACCATGAGCACGGTCGCCGAGTCCATCATCAAAGAAGCCGGTGGTCTTGAGGCTGCCAAGGTCTTGTTTAGGGGCAAGATTATGAAGGTTGAGAGGCGGCTTTTCAAGGGCCATTCTTACGGTGAGATGCATATCGCCGCCTTTGAAAGCGGCGATGAAGACGAAGCTGCGAACAACAAGGAGAGGGTTGCTGCCGTCGCACAAGGGGGCACGATGAAGATCCCTTTCAAGAACGAGAACATCCTGGCCGAGCATACTGATGAGGGCGGCAAGACTAGCATAGTGGCTGCTGTGCCAGATCTGATCTCAATCTTGGACAACGAGTCGGGCCGGGCTCTCGGAGTGCCTGAGTTCAAGTACGGGTACAGAGTCACCGTGATTGGTATTACTTGCTCGCCGCGATGGACCGAGACTCAAGCTGGTCTAGAGATTGGTGGACCGAAGGCGTTTGGGTACGACATTGACTACAAGCCGCTAGGGAAGTATGTAGAGCCACGAAGTGTGCTGGAAGAATACTCCGACTAGGTTCAGCAATATCATGCGTTGGAGATTTCGGGACCATCTTAAGCAGACAAACAGAATTAGATTTGTAAAACTACGCTTGAACCCGCGCAGGAGGTAAATATCTGGACAAGACCTCTAACTAACGAAAGAAGCGAATGACAATAAGTAGAGGTAAAAATGGGGTATAACATGAACCAAAATAAGACACAAGGAAAGGAAACATCATCCTTACATCAATACAACTAAGACAAACGTGAACAAAAGAAATGACTCATACTCTTAATCCTGGTCTGGGTTAGACTTGGAACTAGAGGGCTTCTCGAACGTGACCTCCTGAGTCACCACAGTCGTAGTCCGAATATGCCCCCTGATATGCTGACCATCCATCACACTGTCTCTCTTGCTCTTCACCCGAGACATTTTGTCGAGGCTTTCGGGTGCTCCTGTGCTAACGCTGACGGTGTACTCAGCCGACGTCTCGCTCTCTTGACCGGACATTTCAACTCCGTCTTGGCGATTCAGCCCCTCTGTGCTGCTCATAGGGCGGTGGAATCCCAGCCCGTGCATAAAACTGGCCCTGTTGTTTCCTTCGCTTGGTTGAGCATACGGATTACCGTATTTCGATGGCCTGCCACTACTCCTGAACTGCAGTGAAGACGCGTTGAAGAGGCGTGGCAGCAGAGTAACGAATATCGGTCGAAGGGTGGGAAGACATGCCGCCAGGATTCCGATGGCGACCTCGAGGAAGGACCATGTGGCGGCGTCCACGTTATCCCAGTATGGGTCTTTTGTATCTGCAGCAACGCGGAGGGTTCGGATTCTGAGTGCAGAGATGATGCATGTGCTGTTGAAAGACGACTTAGAACAATAAATATCAGGGGAGTATGGATGAAAACTTACAAGAATCCGAGACAGAAGACAACGAGTAACATTCGCTTCTGCTTGCGAGGAAGTTGCAGTGAGTTGATGACCGGAATCGGCATGCTGAAAATGGCAAAGTCGGCTACGAGATTGACTCCGGCCATGGTGTACCAGATGGCAAGGAAGTCTATGCAGCGGCCTTCGATGGTCGAATCCCAGAAAGCGGCTACGGGAAGACACATCATTGGTAGAAGGAAGGAGAGCATGGCAGTCCACGAGATCATAAAGGCAAGACCCCACAACGTCAACTTCTGCATAATGTCGATGGCGAAGATGCGGCGGTATTGCAATAGGATGGAGATCTTGACGAGGCAGGTCGCGATGTTGTACACGATGATCGAGGTGTAAAAGGACTGATGTTGTTGTGAGTATAGACTCGGGGGAGAGTTGATCACGTTAGGATTTACCTTCATGTACGGGACATAGTCCTCGGGTGGAGGAACCCATGAATGAAAGCCAAGACCCCATTTGCTTTCTTCATTGTCGTTAGTAAGAGACTCTAGATTGTGAGGTATCAGATGAACTTACCAAGGCCAATGGCAACAGCTGATCCAATAAGGAACATCTGAGAAAGTAATGATATGAGCCAGCAAGTCTTAGCCTCAGGAAGATATTGTTATTGCTCACCTGGGCAACCACCATCACTGAGTCGTCCAGCCCAAAAGTTCGCAGCATCCTAACCCTGGTGTAGACCCGGAGACTGACCGCCGCAGTCGACAGAACGGATCCAACAGCCAGAATAGCAACTATCTCTCCAAATCGGGATTGGCCATCGAGGGCATGGTCGACGGTGCTGACGGAGGCCTGTTGTTGAGTCTCTTGTATCGCATTGAGGTTCCTGACCAGGACGTTCGCCGCCATGTTTAACAGACCTCCAGATGATTTGCGTAAGTGGCGTAATTTGAGTTGATTTGTGAAGAACCAAAAAGAAGAAACAAGTCTCCCTATATGATCGAAGAGCAGAGGCCTTCAGTCATCCTTATTGTATTCTCTCACCTCGCCTGGGAAATTTGCCCACCTCAGATCGAAACCCCAGCAGCCACAAGCCGTGTTTCCACCTGCAGTGGTGCAATTTTCGACTTGTTGGGTCATCTCTGCAGACATGGATACTCCCACTCGGTTGAACGTCGTAATAGAGGCTGAGTGGGAAGAGAGCGCGCACTAGTCACTTAGTCGATGGCCCAAGATCTTCCGTGGGGTAGCATTGGTGCCCTTGAGGCAACTCTGACAGGGGTCGGCCAGGATGAAGCCGTGAGAAACCAATCCGGGGAAGGGAATGAGATTCCGCCAAGCGTCGCGATGCAAGGGCCAACCCTCCATCTATACGACCTCTATCCCGATTTCCAACAGACTCGACACGCAAGGTGGCAGGCCGACATGGCCGCAACTTCACGAGGAGGGGGAGGTGCTCCGGACGCACTTGCTGTCCAATTGCGGCTGCAGTCTCGACTGGGTTACAGATCGCTAGATGCCTGTTTGAAGGATTGCTGCAGAACATAGGGCCCGAACTTGCCCCTGAATCCAGCAGTAATGGATTGCGTAGCGCGGTATGTGAAATGTACCAATCGGCGACCAGGCTGCTTGTCGCGAATCCTGCGCGTAGCCGAGTCTCGGAACTTTATTCGACGCAACCTTGGAGTGAAGAGCGGACTGTCGCCAGTTCGGGTGGCCTTTGCATGTTCGGATGAAGACTCCCGCAAGATCCGGTGGCTTGAGAAGGCGGACTTGGCCTCGTTTGTGTGTAGCCGCCGACTGAGCAGAATACTAAGTATCGACGCCGTTGAGTCGGCACCGGGAGCTGTCACAGATCGCGGCCGACCGTGCAACCTTCAACGTCGGCACTAGCAACAATGTGTATCATCGATCTCAAACCGACTTCTTCTTTCGCTGGGCTCATTTCGTGCGTGCAACCTTGGCGGGCGCCCACCCAACGGCACGCTTTGAGTTGCGCCTTGGATCAAATGTCTGTGAGTTGGTCTCGTTGCTAGCGTCAACGGTCGCTTTTGGAGGCCTGCCTCACGCGCACGTCCTGGGCAGCTCTGTATCCGTAGCTCGGCGATGGCGCAGACACGCGAAGTCCACGTGGTATTTGGGAAAGATTGATCAACAAATGCAGGAACATCAGGAGCTCTTTGAGAGTTGAGACATTTTCGCACTGCAGTATCAGCCATCATGTGTGAGTTTGTGATCTTGGCAGAGTTCAATAGTGAGCAATAACCCTTCGAGATCGCAATTCAAGTGCCGATCAACTGCAGTTTGAGAACAGACGACAGGCATCTTTTCTCCACGTCGGAAAGGACGGCTGCTACGGAGGCGGGGGAGATCAATGTGCCAAAATCATTGATAAGCCCTATCAAGACAGAGAACAAGGTCAGATTTCGTCATTCAAAAAACACCAGAAGTATAATTTGAATACCGTCGAGATTGTCAGGTGCAGGGTAGTGAATAAAGATTGACAGGGGCAGTTGCCGATTTTCCAAGCCCATGTATGCACTCGACAAGTACGCCTACGACTGTGTGAGCATGATAGGTTGCATCAGATGAGGATAGATCAACAGATGAGCCAGCAGCATAGGCCTAGCTCTGTCCTGAAGGAGACGGCAATGCGTTCAGAACGACTAATTGGTCTTCAAAACTCTTCATTCAGTCCCAATAGGGAATGCGGCAACTTTCAGCAGTTCCATTAGAGTGACGATCTCTTCTCGTTAGTCGTGAGACCTAGCGGTCAGGCCAAAGAAACAAAAGAGACGTTACTCCACAATCGAGGGCTTTTTGGGGGCCAAGGTTGTAGCTGGGGATAAATATTGACCAGGGATGGGCGAAGATATCCACAAATACCGCCCGAAACCATGCTGCAAATCGCAGATCACCACTCTGCCGATGTTTTGCTGATTGCAATGGCAATTCTCAGGAGGGCCTCACGGACCATGTGAGCATTCAGTTAAAGCTTGGGAGTGCTTGACTTTGATCAGAACTCATGCAATTGAGCCTGAAGAGCATCGATGACCCAGGAGAACCGCCGCTGATGAACTGAAAGATCTGGGGTCTAATGGCTCTAGGGGTTGAGTTTTCGACCCTGGATCCGATTTGAGCCGTTAAGATTGATGAATTCATTGAAGCCCGCAACACAGACCAAGTGGGCAGTAAAGTCGCCCATAGCTAAGCTCAAAGATGTATAGACAAGTAAAGTAACAGACAAAACAAGATTTCAGCCCATGGTTCGGTCACAGAATATCCCGAATTTCGATTCCACGGTCACACTTTCTCCGGAATACCTGATCCAGACCGGCCCCACTCTGATCCGCTCGTTACCGGCGCTGCGCGGTTGTTAACGGCGATAAGGGCCCGATAGTCACGGTGAAAGCAGCAGGCAGGAGAATGGCCGTAATAACGGGTTCAAGTGAGAGAGCTTCAGAAAGGAATTTCATTACGCCCGAAATAAACGCAGCAAGCAGTACAAGTTATTCACAGCTTGGGAACACCTCCCGCCGTTCCTAAAGTCTTAGTGTGGCTCTTGTTCTGATCGATCCCCTCCTCCACCGCCTTGATCTGCAATGCCAAAATCTTAGAGTAGTACCGACAAATTGCGAGATTGCCGCCCATGAACCAGAAGCCAGGGTGCCCCGTTGGCCGCCACATGGTCCTGAACTCGCCCTCCTCGTCCCACCCCCACACATCGCCAACACGATCGGCGAGCTCGTCGCCAAAGATGTTGCGCGCCTCGGTGCGCATGTTCTGGTATCCCGTCGCGAAGATGATCTCGTCGCCCTGAAGCTCCGAGCCATCCGCGAACTTGAGACCATTGGGGAGAACCTCTGTGATCTCCTGACCGCTCTTGATCTTGATCTCGCCGTCGATGATGAGCTGGCTGCATCCGACGTCGATGTAGTAGCCGCCACCGCGCTGGAAGTACTTGACGAAGAAGCCGCCTCCGCTTGGTCCCATGTCTAGGTTGAAGCCGGCTTTTTGGAGGCCTGAGAGGAGCTCGGCGTCGTTGGCATTTTGTACTTCCGTGGTGCCGACTTGGAGCGATTTGAAGAGCTCAGCGGGCAAGCTCCACAGCCACAGGTCGGCGTCGTCGACTGGGGGTGAGTCCTCGTCGTAGAGGCCTTTCAGACCAATGTCCGTGATTGAACTTGAGGAGACGACGGAGGTTGAGCTACGCTGTACCATGGTGACATCGTATCCTTGTTCGTAGAAATCCTGTGCAATGTCGTGACCCGAGTTGCACGAACCAACGACGATAGCCTTCTTGCCCTTGGAGTTAGGCCTGGCGCCCGGGAACTCGGAGCTGTGACAGAGGCGATCTCCCTTGAATTTGTCCATGCCCTTGATACTAGGGAAGAACATCTTGCCAGAGTGGCCCGTCGCCTGGATGACGTGGCGAGGGTGCAAAGTCCGAGTTTCCTTGGATCCGTCGGGCTTTTGCCTGTCGAGAGTGACGGTCCACTGCCTCTTTGAATCATCCCACGACGACTTTGTGAGGGTTGTTGACATCCAGACGTTGAGCTCGAGAAGGCTGGCGTACGCCTCGAAGAAGTCTCCCATCTTGTCCTTGGGCGTGAATACGGGCCAATGGCTGGGGAAGCTGATATAAGGTAGGTGATCGTACCAGACGGGGTCGTGGAGGACTAGTTGGTGGTATCGCTTGCGCCAAGAATCGCCGATGCGCTGATGCTTGTCTACAACCAGGGCATTGACTTTGAGCATCTTCAATCGAGCGGCGATTGTGAGGCCAGCCTGGCCGGCACCTGAATGGTTGTCAGTATAATCTGATGGAAATTTGAGAGCCACAGTCCAGAATGCTTACCGACAATCACTACCGTAGGCTCGCTATCAACGTAGTTGACGCTATCTTCTCTCTTCTCCTTCCAATTCTTGCTTTCTCGCTTCTGGACGTGGTCAACGCCCTTCTCTCGTCGGTGCCGAGTAGGCTCTTCGTGACCCGCGATTTCGCGCAGGGTCGTAAAGAATGTAAAGATCTCCCACTTGTCACCAGACTCAACCATGCGCACGACACCCTCGCCAGGTCCGACATCCGTCTTGACCTTGATGAAGTATTGCAGGCATTGGACCTTGCCATGAGCATCGAGCGGCGCAAAGTGAGGTGCTCTGTAGGCCGTGGAGGTATCGATTTGCACCTCCTTGAGCCGGCACGCCTCGCTGAGGAAGCTCTGGATCTTCTCCCTACCCTTGAGGGTGCGGAGGTCCCATGATAGCGCTAGGTGGTCCCTCCAGTAGCCGTCAGCGACGAAGAGTTGTGCGAGCTTGTTGTAGTCCTTGGAGTTCAATGCAGCGTTGAAGGCGTTGATGACATCTGTCGCGGCCTTCCCCGCATCAACCGATGTTGAGCGAACAGATGGGGGATACTCGCGGGGTGGGAGGTTGACTGAGCCCGGCTCGATCCGTTCGCTTCGCGGAAAGGTTCCTGCCATTGTTTCGAGGTGTTTGGTGGAAGGTGGTGTTGTAATATTTGATGGTCTGCCTGCAGATGCTTCTGGGGAGGATTGGTGTGGGAATGCCTTCAAAGGAGGGTCGCAAAGGAGACTTTATGCAGGACGAGAGATCTTCATCCCCAGTGACAGCTTCCCTTCCTCCGCACCGGAGGGCTGAGTCGTGACATCACCTGAGAGCTTTTGACGCGACAACGCATTTTGAGGGGGTCCTCCGGGGATAGATCGGGCAAAGAAATGAAACTCTGTCGCACACAGTCCACGAAGTAATGGCGTCCTGCTGTGCCGCCTTAGCTCTCAACAGTTTTCCCATCCGTAGTGGTTTTGTGGAGTTTAGAGGCGCCAAGGGCCGCACATTGTCTCTCAGGTGCAGACGATAGCGCGCAACCGGCTTCCTCGAATGCGGGGGAACGGGGCAACTGGGGGATTCAAGCCTGATCCAGCGGGCAAATCATAGAGCTTCAGGATATTTCTGCCAAGTTGGACGCGCTCTGCTTGGATGGATTAGCTTGAACTCTGCCTTGATACGGGCTGTTTGGACCCGCCGGCGGCTCGAATTACCCCAGACTGAGGGGCGTTGACGCAGCTTGTCGTCAACTAAGACAGAGCTTCTCCGCACTTGAGGTCGCGGGGTTGGTAAGGGATGGTTGGTCCCCCAAGATCTAGAGACTATGCGAGGTTGCTTCAAGCTTTGGTAGAGACCCAAAGGTTTGGGCATTGGATGGAATGCATACTGCCATCTGAAATGATCTGATTTGATCTACATCTCTCTCGAAAGACTTCACACATGCTTGAATCGTTCATCCCACGATGCCAGCAGCCAAAGAGTCAAAGGGCCATCGTTCCGGGTACCTTTTGGTTTGCACATCAGCGTCGGTGGGGGTTGAGTGCGGGGAAAGGCGCGGGATCATGCATGAGAAATCCGGGGCAAAGGAAGCTAAGTCCGTAAAGCACATTTCCGCGTTGCGGCGTTGCGGTTCCGCATTGCCGCCCCGTTGCGGCTCCGGGTGGTGTTTTTCAAATCATCAACCGCTAGTTGTCTGGCGCCTCTTTAGATAAGAGGCTAAGACCTAGTCTAGTCGACAGATTCTTCCAGCTGCATAGCGGTTCAGCTAAGGGAATGCACCTGACGGCCTCTCGATGCAAGAGTATCTGCAAGTTTCGAGATCTACGAGATCTGCATATTGGGCCATCGGAAGACAAAGCGATTTTCTCAGTAAGACAAGTTTACATCCCCTCATAGTAAGGCAATGCTAGGTGGTTTTGAAGCTATTGTCACAACTGTCGATGGGTTTCTTATCGACTGATCACTTCTCATGACTGCAAGAAAAGATGATTATGGCATCTGTCAGGCAATGAGTTCATCTCGACCTGGATAAAGTGGGTATCTGACTCCCTCATTCTAGAATGCACGCGCTGCCCATGTTTAATCACCTAGTAGACTTATATTACATGTAGTAGTGCGTTGTGACGCATGTAACACAATGTAAGAGTGAGGTTGGCCAGAAGAATCGCGCTCTAGAAAAAGCAACTAGTACAACTCGATGAGGCGTGGCTGATCTACATCCAAATCTTTATGCATTTCCCCTTCGAGACGAATGTCGTGCTCAGCGTATCGCTTCGTCCCATCAGACGTAACACATACCGCCATGCCAACGACACGACCTCTTCTGACCGGCTTTCCGACCACCCTGTGCTGATCAGGTGCAGCCGCGTTCTCTGGAGCTGACTCTTTGGGTCCTGCAACAGGGTAAGGCTTACTCCGTTTCGGATACCTCATCCGCTTTATATGCGGTGGTTCCCTGGGGACTCCAGTAGCTGGGTCAATCGGAGCACAAAAAGGTATAGGGGAATATTGTGTGTCTTCAGGTCCGCGCTCGATCCTCAACACCAACATAGTGGCCATGTGTCGTCCCGTCTCGTCGTGTCGCATGATGCACGAACGCCTCGCGGGATCCTCCTTCAGACGCCACACCGGAATCAGGATATCCCCAGAGAAGAGCGTACGAGGACCAAAGCCGTATTCACCTCGAGACCTGAATGAAGGGCTGAGGTCTTCCGGGAGATCCCGTGGCTCTAGACTGAAGAAGACATTTTCTTCCATCATTGTGTAAATTTGGTCTATGAGCTTGGCCTGGCCCAAGGAGAGTTGGTGTCGTTGTAGCTTGCCCAGATTTTTGAGGGTATTTTGGATGAATCTCTCCTCAGGCGGCATCTTGGCGGGGTTGCGAAAGCGTAAAATGGTATGGAATAGCATAGCAATGGTCTCAATCTTGTCCGAGTCGCCCTCTGCATATGAGAAGCTGGGCGGGAAGAACTTGTGCCAGAGTTTGGCGAGACTATGCAACGGAGAGAAAGACTCGGGGTATTCGTCGGGTGCATCCGCGAACATGAAATAATTGACCGTACGGCCACTGGGGACACCCGAGGAATCGTACCAGCGAATGAATATTCGGTCCTGTTTAAACAAAAACCGCGTGGTACGGTCGTCTGTCCAATTTGGTGTTGCCCCGGGGATCTCTTGCATAACCCATTCGTCTCCGACGGGGTTAACAGGTGGCAAGGCGAATGTGGAGGCGCGCTCCAAGTCCATGACAACAGCAACCTCTGGAAAGCCAGGCTTCTCGGGATAGTCAAAGGCATCGACATTGCTGCTCATGTTGTAGAATGGAAGATTCCTACGCCGTTCTCCGGTCCAATTCGGCACCCACGACGGGTAATAGTCGTTAGATTCATTGAGCGGCCCGAACTCAGCCAAGTGAAGGAGCATCTGCAAAGCAGTCTTCTGGCCGCGCCGGAACATCGCCAGTGCGAGCCTTCGGTATAGAACTGTCCAGTGTTGTCGAAGATCGAGATAACTTTGCTGGTCCATGATTTGCTCATGGTCTGGTATCAAACCGAACAACGCAGCAATTCTATCTTCTGGCTCCCTACACTTGGCAGCGTGGAAGTTCCAGAGCAGCTGGAGGATCGACTTCCGCTCTTCGCTCAGACTCTTCATCATCAGGATCTGGTAGTGGTACTGGAACCCGTATAGCTCTTCCACACATTCCAACTGGCGAGCAGCGGCGACAAACCAAGGCAGACCTAGAGAGGATGTTCCGCAGTGGACTTTGGCCTCTTTGGCTAGGCATGCCTCCTGTATAATCCAACGGCGCGAGAACCAAGGCCGGGAAAGGAAACGCTTGAGTTGAAGGATGTGATCGGCCCCAATTTGGCTCTTAGTTATCTTCAATGTTGCTTCAGCCATTATTTTCACTTGTTTTGTGTCCGGGATCGTTTGCATCATGCGTATAGCAGAAACGATTGCTGCTGTCTTGTCGTCTGGGTCACCGAGCCATATGTGGACTTCTTTCGCTCCTTTGTAGATCCGACCCATGCGAGGAAGTTGTTGCGCTTTCTCGCCAGTATCTTGCTGGTTGAGGCAAATGGCATCTATCCAAAGAGATTTGATTGTGGACGGCTGCCGTAGAGCTCTCAAGAGTGAATCGACTGTCGGGCTGATGTCGAAAGAGAATGCACCATCAATAAGCAATTGACAAGACGATGGTGCGTCTCCCCAGGTGTATGAGACGGCCTCAAAATCATTTTCTGTGCCGAAATTCTTCATCTGCTCCGCTTTGTCATATTGAGCTAAGGAGCATTGCAGAGGAGACTGGGTATCCGCAGCCGGGTCGAGGACGACGATGCGAATCGAGTCCGGGCTCCGCAGAGGCAAATACTGGTATGGAACAATGATATTCGAACCCATTTTGCATAGAAGAGCGAAGCAACGATGATGAACTTTTGACGAGAGAATGATGACTTGGAATGATATGTTTGCGATGCTACCAATACCAGTGGAGATCAATGCTGATACCCAGACTTTATGGCAATTATGAAGACCTGCTGCATTCACAGCTTGATGTGTGATTGCATGTACGTACATAGCAGCTGGAGTGACCAGAATGAGGGTTTCACGAAGTATCATGGCCTTCGATCATGTTCGCATGAACACTTGCCCATTTTGCGTTACAGGAGGCATGTCGCAGTCTGGTGCAGAATTGCATATTCATGTTAGTTCCCGCAACCGCTCCAAGAAGACTGAATGCATTCCAGGTATTTACAAGCGATTGGAAGGGGTGATAGGAACATCTTATGGTGCCACGAACTAGAACCGGCCTCGGGGGTTACGAAGTGAGTTGTGAGTAACACGAAATGCCTCCTAAACTAAGCCACGAAAAGGCCCGGTTTTTGGTCAGATACTCACACGCCTGTTAGAGGAAAATGTGCGGAAAGTTACATGATAGATTGAGACACTTTGCTCAAAGCATTACACAACGAAGATCATGTGCTCAATTGCGAGAATGTTGATTGAGTCTTCAAGTATAGCCCCATCATGGCTCGGAGACACCGGCATCAAGGGGTTTCACAAGCGTCAAGACGCCGACTCAAGCTGGTATCAGTTAGTCATTCGACACCTTTTTACAAGCTTTTCTCCAAGTTACACCCGGTCAAAGCCTGAACTCTTGACTAGCGTCTTTGAAAATGAAGACTGTGAGAATGATGAGCTGCAGCATCTGAACTTAGAAAAGTCATTTGAGAAAGAAAGGGGAATAATTCGCGGGAGGTGGTTGCTTGGCTCAGTTGTGTGACAAGACCTCTGACTAGGTCAACTGTGGTACTATGGCCAACCCCTCAAACACCTTCATATCCAAAGTCAAGTGTGGGCAGGTCACAGAATTTGAGAATTGCGAGAGTAGGTTTCATATGGAATGATTCTCATATTTCAAACATGAGGACGCCTCTGTACAAAGGATCGCCCGATATCTAATCGCATTTACATCCAGTGTCTTAAGTCATACGTATGTACAAGAATAATGTGTTGAGCGCTGCTATTACCAAGGGGTGATAGCATAGCTCAGGGGATTTTGTCCAATAACTTTCCCAACTTCTCTCTCTCAACTCTCTTTACTGCTTTAGAAAGAAGCAGCACGGGCAAGCTTGCGGCGCATGGAGCGGACGCGGCGGCGAGCAGCAGACTTCTCGCAGTCGTCACCCTCGCCAGCGGCAGCGGTAGGAGCAGCAGAGGGCTCAGCGGGGCTGGTGCTGTTGCCGCCGTTGTAGTCGGGGATGCCTGCAGAGGGAGCGGCGGAGGTGGAAGGTGTGGTAGGAGTAGTGGGGGTTGTGGGAGTGGTGGCACCATCGGAGCCAGTGCAGTCACCGTCGGAGGTCTGGCCGAGAAGGTTGGCAGTGTGGTCCTCGCATCCGGAGAAGGCAACGGGGCCACCGGGGACGGTGTAGTTCTTGGGGGCAGGGTAGTAGATGTTGATCAACAGACCGGGCTCCTCGCCGGTGTAGACGCCGGGGAACTTGACGACGGGCGAGGGGGTCTCAGTGGAGGTACCGGTGACGGAGATCTGAGCGCAAGCGATGTAGAACTGGGCACCACCCTTGGTGCCGGCGCCGTGGAGGCCAATGTGCTCAGCGCGCATCAAGTACTCGCCGGTGGGGACCTCCTTGGGGAGAGTGAAGGTGAAGTTGTGAATACCGGCGTTGTTGACGTAGGTGGCCCACTGGAGACCAGCCTCGGTGATGTTGGAGGTGGACAGCTCGTAGACCTTGAACCAGTCGCCGTCACCCTTGTAGGAGGCGACACCGGAGGGGGCCTTGGAGAGGTAGACGGCGAGGGGACCAGGGTGGCCCATGTCGTTCTCGACGATGAAGCCGACCTCATCACCGGCGTTGACGGCCTTGGTCTGGGTCTTTGCGAGGACATCGTCGTCGTTGCCGCCAATGTTGCAGACGATGCCGTCGGAGGTGACGTCGGTGACGGGAGAGTTGGAGTTCTTGGCCTCGCGGACGTACTGGTAGCGCTCGGTCTGCTCACCGTTGACGATGAGGGTAGGGAAGACGTAGTGGGCCATGGCCTGGGGCACGACGGCCGCGGCGGCGAGGAAGGCGAAGGAGCGCATCTTGATTTTGTGATGTGGTTTGGTTTGGTTTGGTGAAGACCGGTTGGTTGGAAAGATTGGACAGGAAGAAAATGAAGAGGTTGATTTTCCACCAGGGAATGAATGAAAGTGAAGTTTCAAAAAGAAAGAAAGTGGTTTGTACAATGACAAAAGACACAGCGATGGTTGAGAACGAATAGAAAATAGAGAAAAGATGAAAATGGTGAGAAGAAATGGTTGTCTTATATCGAAGATATCTCACCACCCCTAGCGCACTAAGAGGATGGGAACCAAAGACTGTCAGCCGCCATGATCCATCATCCCACCCACATTGCTGATGAGATTTCTCCCCACATCATGGCAGACTACCCTCATCTGGACAAAAATCCAGGCATCATGGGCGCGAAAAGGGGTGGTGAAAGAACAAGGATAGCCAAAGGAGCTCGACCTTGTTGCCTCGTCCAACTAGGATCACACGATAGGAGTAGGCTTCAGTGACGATTTGGTCGAAGTGCTCTTCGTTTGAAACAATGGAGCAACATGTACGCGGGATCCATTTCCCACCAAACACGGTCGTCAACGCCGGCGAACACCCCTGGATTGGGGTCGCAACTAGAGTACGATTGACGACATTGACCCCTGGGCTGCTCCCAAGCCGCCCACGTTGTCGAAATCTGTGGAAATACAGTCGCCAAGCTTGGCTCATGCGCCGATTCCCCTTCTGCTCCTGTTCATCTAAACTCACAGCTCGCTTGCAGCACATACCCTTGTAGGTGAACCTGGCCCGAGCTGGTCGAAGCCCCGAATCGGTCGCTTGTAGATTGTTCTACATCCACAGTGGTCGCCCTTATTCGTCCTAGCCGCTGGCGGCTTTCTGCGCCTGCATGCCCGTAACGGCGTGAAAGGCTTGTCGGGGTTTGGCCGTTGGCGAATTTGGTGCTGTCAATTTCGGTCGACAAGCCCGGTTTGCCTGTCAATACCCGTTTATTGGTACTCTATGCTCTCGGCTTAATAGTTCTGGACTTTCTTCACCTGGCGAATACTCGAAACTATGCCGTATGGCTAGTTCCGCGCATCCCGGAATTCAAAGTCTTTACAAAGCCATTACAAAAACATTTGAGCCCGCGAGAAGAGTATCATAGACGAGCGTTTCCCCAGAGTCAATATGCGTAGCTTTCGTCTCAAGAGCGATCCCGCGAGAAAGGTTATGCCACTCTGAACTCTGTTTTGGCAGTTCTGGTTCCTGATCGACGCGGCCGTGGTGGAATTCACCTGAAACCTGGGTCCAGGGGCGCGCAGCGAGGAAGAAAACCTCCAGCTGGCGGCTATTCCCTGTCGCAGATCAATTTACACGGGACGAAAAGCCCCCCACCAAGAAGAAGAAAAGGAGGACGGCGCTTGGGTGCATTTTCAATTCTTTGGCGGCAGCTCCCAGTCGCAGAGCAGTCGTTAACAGAAACTCGGCACGTAAAGCCGAGTGAATGACTTGGATCAACCTGGGTTCTTGACTGAAGTTCTGTGGTTTCCCCTCTCTTGCTGCGGTGTGATGGCCAAGGAGAGAGGCCAGGCCAGACTAGCATCAACCCCGACAAATGTTGTTATCACGGCTTACTAGTCGGACCCAGCGCTTCACAACTAAAGTGAAAATAAAGTGCGATCGTTAAGTGCCGCCCTGCCGAGATATCATAATAGCATTCGCTAAGAACCAATCCAGCGAGTCCAGCGGCGCTGGTCCGGACGTTCCAGATGCCAAATGCCAGTCGAATCAGGCATGCAACTCCGCCGAGGTTTCTTAGTCAGACCACGAGAACTCCTCCCTCCGGTTATGCTTCTCCTGTTTCTCCTCTTGTCCAAGCCAGTCTCCATCGAGAAGGGGGGCCATACCCGTCAGAGAAAAATAAAGCCGTCTCCATAGTCGATTTATGTCTAATATCAGGCTCCATGGCTGAGCCGTCCGGTGGGATTCCCTATTCGATCGAATCTGTCGACGCCCCCGAAATACTCGGTTCTGCTCCGTCTACACACAAGATCGTCGTTGTGGACGATTGCGCCCTGATATTTCGCAACAGATTCTTCGGCATCCACCGACACTGGTTTATTGGGCCACTTCTGCACTTCCTAGTCAATGTCAGCGTTGACGGGACGAATTAAGTAATGATGATCGCAGCAACTCGATTCAGTCACCTAACCTAGCAATAGCATCGGTTCGCCCCCAACGTGCCGTGCGTGCTTTCCGCGATGCGACCGTACGGAGCGGTGCCCGAGACTGGGCAGTAAGTTGGACTGACGATCCCACTATCAGCTCCGAGGGCGCGGTACTGACTTGCGACGGTTGTCTCAACCTCATTGACGCCAACGATCGGCTTCCGGGCAGTGTAGCACGGTGGGTCTGCTGGCCTGATTGTCCCGCCCCCATGAGCCGAAATTGGCGACTCGAGAGTTGACGTGAGCACCCGATGAGACCGTACCAAGACCTGCGTTGTATGGAAAGACCCAAAAGGATCTCGTTATCTCTCGTATATTCTTCTGCCAAGCGGACGGGTGCTAAGATGTCGCGATTTCTAGCAGCAAGTTATCGCGAAAATCTTCAACCCGCCGGCTTCCTTACTCGCCCAATCTATTTGATTAATCACGTAAGCCATATGCTGCGACGCCCAGATTTTAGCTCGTCTCATCACTCTCGCTGACAACTCTACTTCATTTACTACACACTAGGCGTTGCCAGCTTCTAGCCAAGAATCTGCTGTCTCGAGGCTATATTATTGATATTGCTTTCAATCAACAGAGCAATTGCTGACAGATGATCTGACAGAAGGCTCCGTATCTTGACAACCCGCCGTGCGTACGCGATCTTCCAGATAGCGCACTTTCCCACTCTGCTTTCCCCGGCCGTCGTCGCCTCAGTCGAACTTTTCAAGTATCGTAGGTTTGTAAGCATGCACGTGGATAGTCGTAACTACCATCTCACTTGATAACCATAACCCAAACTGAAGCAAATTTATAACTTTTACTTTGTGTTGTCTATCTCTTCCTCGAACCAATTTGAATCCACCATCAGGCATGATCGTGTCCCTCATGATCCTCCCCGTCCTCTGTCCAGTCCGGGAACCCATCATCAAACAAGTCTTGTAACTTATCCCTCTTCTTCTCATCATCCCATTTCTTATTTCTCATCACCTTCTGCCACTTCCTCCATTCCTCATCATTAAGCAAACACGCATCCAGCGCAGCCTCCAACCCCTTGATGTCCAGTTTCTCCCCGATGAACACCATTTCCTGGCGGCGGTCACCCCACTCGCCGCCCTTCTTGATGTCGTGCGTGACAAGGGCGTCCACTTCGCTGTCGCCGGTGAGATAGTCACCAGGGTCAAGCGTGCAGAACCACGGGCGACCGCCGGTCATCGTAAGCATCGCGCCCGCTTGAGACCAGTCTCCTGCCCTGTGCGGTCGCGTCGCGAGGAAGAACTCTCCTTTCGAGCGGAAGAGCCGGTTGAAGAGGGGGTTGGCAGTCTTGTTGGCGAGGATGACTTCGTTAGAGGGAGGCTCGAGGGGATCTTCCATGTCAGCATCCTCGTCATCAGCTTCGTCCGCTTCTGAGTCATCATCTTCCCATTCCTCATCCTCCTTCTCATCGGCCTCCTCGCCGCTCATGTCAGCGTCATCATCTTCGTCCATGGCATCTTCGTCTTCATCGCCTTCAGGCTCCTCCATTTGCAAAATGAACTTGTCGTACAGTAGAGACCAGAGACGTCTAGGATGGAATGGCCGTGTCCTTGTGTAGATGAAGTTGCGGACGTTGTACTCCTCCGTCTCTGGCTTTGGTGTGACTGCCTTACGCCCATTGACCTGTAACATTGAGTGTCAGCATATTTCATCTTGCGATGTATAAGTGGATAGCTTCAGATGGAATCTTACCTCGCGGACTGTCATGGCGTGCAGATCTTGCAGCCAGCCAACACCAGACTGAGCGACCTTGAGATCGAATGTGTTGGTGTTGACGATCTCTTTGACGTCGATCTTGCTGTAGCTGGATTCCAGGATCTTGGCTCGCGGGTTGAGCTTCTTGATCAAATCCAACACGCGGGCGCGATCATCTTTGGTAACCTGCTCGCAGTCAGCAATTACATCCTGACCATGAAGGTAGTGTATCTCATAGAATCTTCAATACCATATCAATCTTGTTGAGGACGATCACATCTGCAAACTCAATCTGGTCAACCATCAGGTCAGACACCGTCCGTTCATCTTCCGGCACGACGTCGTCCCGTCTTGAAGAAAGCAGATCGCTAGTGTGAAAGTCGTTGAAGATCGTAAAGGCATCGATGACAGTGACAGTCGTATCAAGGCGAGCGAACTTGTCAACTCCGCCAGCATCAGCCCTGAAGAGCAGCATTCGTCAGTAAGATCGCGGCCACAAAATCCCCGAGGGTATGGGACTCACAGCCTGTTGAGCAACTTCATGGTATCTTCATCCAATCCTTCGGGCCCTTCGCCCATCGTAGCCATCTGCTCTGCCAGCCGGGCATCGAAGGTCTCGGCGACTTGTTCGGGCTCGCTGATACCACTGCTCTCGATAATTACGTAGTCGAACTCGTGGAGCTCGGACAAGTTGACCAGCTCTTCTAGAAGGTCTCCTCTGAGAGTACAGCAGATGCAGCCATTCTGTAGGGCGATGACTTTTTCTTCAGTCTTTGTAAGGCGGTGGCTCTTTTTGATTAGGGATGCGTCGACGTTGACACTGTTCGGGGCAGCTAGTTAGTACTAATACATACAGTAGATAGCAATTAACATACGCTCCGATATCGTTGACGATGACCGCAATGCGAAGGCCATGGTCGCTCTTGAGGATGTGCTGTAGAAGTGTCGTTTTTCCGCTGCCCTGTAATCCAGTTGTTGGACACATGTCTCGATCGCTCACATATGTTGATCAGGACTTACCAAGAAGCCTGAGAGAAGGGTGACTGGTAGCGGTTTGCCCTGGCCCGGCTTTGTGATATCGACGCCTGAGTCCTGGCGGACAAGCTTCGGAACCTCGTCGGTCAGCTTTGGTTGCGTAGTGGCTGGCACAACGACGGCACCCGTTCTGGGCTTCGTTGATGATGCTGAGAGTTTTTTGCCCATTGTAGATATCCGCGGCTCTCCTTTGACTATGTAGAACTGGTAAAGATTGGAGATTGAAAGACTTGTAATTATCCTATCGATCTTAAGCTACGAAATTTGGATATTTATATGAACTTTCCCAACATCTGGACAACTCAAATCCCGCCTTATCTGATCGACTGCCATCAAGGTGTCCGACTAGCGCTAGCTATCATTCCATCATTCCATCATACCGTCTCATTGAATCATCTCCTTGTGCTCTTCGTTTCTGTACGACATGCGTACGACGGGCCATCCGGGTTCTGACGATGCCCCCGGGGATACAACACGGGATTGGCTGGCTTGTCACCGGGGCCGTCATCACCATCGGCCGCACTCTGATTGGCTGAAAAGACCACGACCGGGACCATATCCCGAGAACGCCTCGCCATATTAGGAAAAAATAGTTAATGAAAGCATGGAAGATGGATCCAACGGCCGCCTCGGACCCTTGAGAACCTTGAGGGATACATTTCTTGAGTCCATTGTGAAATGACGCTTCGTCATTCGCTTGGGTCATTTCAGACGAGCTACCCTCGGGCCGGTGGTCAACGATGAGATCTACTATGAGCTGGGTAGGCAAGGAGGAAGGATTTAAGGGTTGAAGCCCTTGGGTTTAGGTTTCTCGGCACATTCAGGGGACGAATTATGGAAGTTCTCTTCATGTTCTCAACCGTAGGGCAGATCTGCGATACTACCGTTGAACGGCCGAGTACGTGTGGCTACTGCGTTGCTCATTGTAAGTCGGCACTTAGGCAGGTGATATCCATATCCTCCGCTTGTGATTATTTCAGTTTGATGCGCCCAGAACCTCACAAGTACTTGCCTCTTCGCGGCAGGCCGCCAGCTGTGCTCGAAGCTACTAACTCACCTTATCGAAGAAGTGAAGCACCATCATCCAACCTTTTACCACAATGGTAATCAATTGCGGCCGAAAAGCACCATATGAAACTCCATGCCAAGAAATGTCTACTCCGTAGTGCTGCATACGGCCGATACGTACTTAATAGACTTAGGGAGGGCTTTTCTCCATAAAACACGACTTCCGTAGCCTCTCATCTTGCTAGCCTGTACATTATCTTCGGACGGCTCAGGTTCGAAAGCGAACGTTCCCGGAAGAAATGCGACTGGCTGATCATCTGTTGGGACCATGTGTAACCGGGGCGAGACACTGGGATGACCTTGGCCCTCGGAACGACAATGTTCCTCGATCTCGTTCAACTCAACACGGAGCCAAGTCCCGAGGAATGGGAATGGCCCAGAAACCCGAATTCGTGAGAATCTCAGGAGCATGGACGATACAATATGCCGCTACTTTCTAAGCGTGCGTATCGTCGTCTCCGGCCATCGTCAATTGATCGAGGCACAAAACTCATCAAGATCACAGTCGATGTTGGAAAGAAGAAAGGTGCCTTGCCTACTCATACAGCCAAGAGTCCATTTTTCGCGGATCTAGAGAGCAAGTCACATGAAGCATGATTCCGACGGACCGGAGGGTTATATAGCCGAAAGGACATTGGAGCCGAACAGCTAGTCGAACCGAACCTCGACTCGAGTTGAACGCAGATCAAGCGCTCGGCGTTTAAGCGCCAAAAGGATGAAGGAATTTTTAATGGTATTAATAGAAAGCACGTCGCCTGCCAATGCTATTGGCGTTCAGAATTGTAGAGGGCAACGTCATTGTCAGGTGAGGAGCCGACAAAAATGTTTGCCAGGTGCCCATGCATTCCCAGTTTCATCGTCGACCCCGTTGTGGATGAGGTTGACCCAGAGCTTACCCCGGATACTACCACGCAACACCCCTTCGACGGAGAGTTGGCCCATGTCACGAGACCAGGCTTTCTCTTCAAAGTGCTGTCTGTCCGCAACCCAACGATTGTGTCGGTAAAAGTTGACTTGTTTGTTTACAGGTAGGTTGAGCCTGATTTTGTCCTTGCGTCGATCGCGACTGTTCCCTGGCCGAGCCGCTATGCATTGAAGCAAATGGGCTCTGGGCTCGCCAAAAGTTGCACTGTTGGGCTGGGACGGGTTCAAGCACACTTCAGTGCTAGACTTATGCGATGAAGAGCAGCGGGTTGCATCCAGCCTCGAAATACTCTTGTCGCAGTATCGATCCTACGGCGAAGGGATACGAAGTTGCACCGAGGAATAGAGAGGAGCTGAGTAGACAAAACAGCAATCGGCGCTGCAATCAAGAAGGGACGGAAAATGTTTCCAGGCTCGGACAAGGCCCCCCGACCATGTTTCTAATTCTCTCCGTCCTCGAAGCGCCGGGGTGGAGTTTCTTGTGTACCAACGTGAAAAACTGGCACACTTTAGCATCTCACTCTGCCAACAACTCTTCGTGCCTATCCATGGCTTGCTTGCAGTCGCATTTTCGGTGGTTTCAGACACCAGAAAGAGGGCGCCTCCGGGCCAAGCCGCCAAGAAACGCGTCAAACACGACCGAGGGTTTTGGTGCGGCACGGCGGGCTCATCAGAGTGACAGCGGCCGGGGTCCGTCTGAAACCCTCCGAACATGGAATTGGTGTGGTTCGCGGTTTGCCCTCTCAGAGGCTCCAGAGTCCCATTGCCAGCTGAGGAGCTCCCCGTTGTCTGGGCCTCCTTGACCCCTTGGGTGTAACTGTGCGGTGCACTGAGGCTGGTGAGGAGGAGCTAGAACTGGGCAAACATGGCTGATGGTTCTAGCGGCTGCGCCAGAGTCATGTTAAGCCGCCTCTGGAGTCCGGGGTCTATTCGTGTGAGCGTCCCCCGGAGCTTTCCCTCGCCTGCGCTTGTCGCACCAAAGACCGGTGCCCACTGTCCCTGAGTCCCTGAGCAATCCGCAGCTTGTAAGAAAGGCACATCTCGAAACCCCCTTGCCCGTTCTTCTTGGAAGTTGTTTGATGTGGGAGACATTTTTGCATGGATGTCTCCGAACTCGTCCGTGGGGTTGAGCGAGATGATCGACACGGCGAGAATTGATAACATGAAGCGAATGCCGCCCACCCTGTCGTGACGTTTGCTTTGGTTCTTGTTGTTTCTGCCTCTGCTTCTGTCCAACATCTCGGGGATTCGTGACTCTGTTTCTCATGCGGCGCTTGCGTCATTTTTCCTTTCTTGTTGTTCTCTTCTAGATTTGCAGCTGCGCTGCTTTTTCCTTCACTCACTCGCTGGTCGATTTTACTTCGTTACTGGTTTGTAGGGCAGGTGCAGAAGACGCGAAGGCTCGTAGCGATGGACGCAACTGCGACTTGGTCTACTCTGAGGTACGGGATCAACCAAGCATTCTCATCAGTCTTTCAGTGAGGGTCGCTAACCGGTATAAACAGGCAGCGGAGGAGAAGAACTGCGCCTAAATTCCCTGGCAGACCTCGTCACAATCTAGCCCGTAGACAAAGTCCAGCACCTCCACCCACTAAGGAAGAGGAAGCCGAGGAAGCAGACGGGGAACAAGAAGTCGGCGGCAAGCAGGAAGAAGAGGAGGAAGACGAAGAGGGGGCCAAGCCTAATCAACCCGCCAACCAGAGAAAGGAACAAGAGGAGGAGGAGGAAGAAGAAAAAGAGGAGGAGAAGCCTGCAGGCGGCGCTGCAAAGGAAGCCGAGAGTGATTCAGAAGCCGGCGGCCAAGCCGGCGCAGCATCATCAGCCAGCGATTCAGACGCACCACAACCAGGCGCACCGCCAGGCCAGCAATCCGACTCGAGCAGCGATTCAGAACAAGAGCAGCCTCCGCCAGCAGTAACACCACCACCCGGAGCAACGCCAGCCCCTCCCCCGAGTGTGCAGCCGCCCCCGGCCGCACCGTCACTCCCACCCCCGGCGGCGCAAGGATCCCCGATCCCATCGGCAGTCTTGAACCCGGCGTTGCCGGCAAGCCTACCGCCCGCAAGAGGCTTCATTACTCTTGTTCCCGGAGCGCCGCCACCCTCTAACCCACCGCCTCAAGAGGCTCCAGCGCAACAACCGGCGCCGGTCGCGACACCGTCGAATCCTCCTGCCCGCCAACCGCAGAATCCTCCGCTTGCCAGTCAGCCACCTGCAACACCATCACCGCCTCCTCCTCCTCCCGCCGCTGAAACCACTCCTTCAACGAATCTGCCGCCGCCCCCGGTTGAAAATGCCGCGTCCGGAACACCACAGCCGGAACTTCTCCCACCAAGCTCACAAGTCGAGGCTTCCAACGCGCCATCGGCGTCAGCTGCGCCCGCTGATGGCACAGACCGTGGATTCGCGATCGGAGTCTCCTTCGCCGTTGTCGGTAAGTCATTGTAAACCCCCGCCTTCTAGCCCAAAATTCTAATCAGGGATCGCAGCCATCATCGGGTTGCTCATTGGCGCAGTAATCTTCGGCGTAAAACGTTACAAGAGGAAGAAGAAGGTCGCCGCCGTAGCAACAAACATGACGCAAAACACACCACCAGGCGGTAACGGTATACTCCCAAGAGAGTCCGCCATCCTCAGACAACCAAAGCGCAGCACCCGCGAGATGGAGCGCGCCATGGTCACAACCTTCAGACAGACCAAGATCGCGAACCGTACCACCAAGGAGATGGAAGAGCAGATGATGGAGCAATTCAAGACAGACAGGGCATCTAGGGTGGACGCATCCTCCGCCAGGCCTCTACCGAATCCTTCAACAACGAACGCGACTGCTGGGGTTCCGCCTCTTCCCAATATGCCCAGCAACAATGATCCTATCGGAAACACTAGGAACATGCAAGCGGAGAGTTTCTACTACGAAAAGTCCATCAATGAGCCGCCGGTCGTACCCGCGCCACTGAGAATCAGCACAGGGCAACGACGGCCTCCGACAGCGGTTTCGACATCGAGGGTGCCGTATCCTGCTTCGACATACGACATGTACCAGGAAGTTGGACAGGGTCCGTACCGGGAGTCTATCAATATCGGATACCAGCCTACCACTAACAACAACGGCTATCGACCATATAACCCGGACAACTTTTACCGGCCGCAGCCGGGTCAGCTCCCCCGAGCGGAGAGGGGACCTGACGGGCGGTTCTCACCCGAGATGGGGTACCGCGGTTGAGAAGTGCCCGGACTAAAGTAAAATCGTGGCACGCCAATACGGTCACTACTGAGAGCATACGGCGACATTTTTTTCGGGCTGGGATCAACCCATGATATATCTTACCAAGGATCGGATGATGGACCCTCCGAACCAGACCTTGCGAACCACACACGCTGTACTCGGGCATAGATGGGATGACTGCTGTCACTAGTCTCATTTGTCTCACCAATCACTTTATTTTTCCTTTCTTGTTGAATACCCAGGCAGAAGATTGTCGTCCACGATGTACTATATATATATGCAATAATATCACGAACCATGATGATTGAATCACTCACATAATCCCATCGATGTGTTCTTTTCGACGTCCGATGCGAGGAGTCCGCCACAGCCGATAGTGTCATGATCTGAGTCCTGACAGTCTTCATTTCATTGGCCCCCATCTCTAAGTGCCATACTAAATTTATTTACCTTTAGACGCCCGGAGGATCGGTAATGCAGGTCCAGACACACGCCTCCTGAAACGAACATCGTGACAGACCCCTGCTATAGCCCGAAATAGTCTCGTCAAAAGTTCCCAATCTTCGAATCCACGCGAGAAGTTGCGTAGGGACAGAGTAGGAGTTGGCGATGCCGCTGCCATCGGAGTGTGCTCACAGGCAGGTCGACACGGATCTAAGCCGCTCGTTGGAGATCGTCTTCCCTTTCGGTCGTGACAGAATCACAGCAACGTGTCAGGAGCGGTTAGAGAGCGGGTCTGTGAACCAATTCACTGCCATGTGTTCTGGAAACTTGGTGGTTCGTTATTCTATCAACTACCATCCATGGCCTCTTCCATGGCCTGTTCGATCTTTGTCGTGACTCGTCTGTAAAGATGTCATCCTATCCGAAATCATTTTGATCACTGGGTCCTCTGGTTTCCGATTCTTCAAGGCAAGACCCAATGGCGTCTCTCCGGAACTTGTTCTCGTAAGAAGACTGGCGTCAACCTTTCCTTCATCAAGCAGCCATTGAACAGTCCGCAGAGTCACCCGATCGCGCCCTGCCACATAGTGCAGTAGCGTTTCCCCCCGGTGATTTATTGCGTTTGGATTGATTAAGCCCGTATCGTGTAGATATCGGGCCACCCCCAATTTGTTTCCATCGATGGCCCAAAAGAATGGGGTGTCTTCGGCCAAAGTTTGCGATTCTATGTCGACCTTTTGTGTCTCGACAAGGTATTTAACTATCTCAATCCGCCCCATTACCACTGCGCTTCGTAAAACCGGACTCGGCCGCTCGAAAGCATCCAAGTCAATAATATCGACCTTGCCTGTTTCGATCAGGAGCTTGAATATATCGACGTTGCCGCGAATTGCGGCATGGTGGAGAGCCGTCCTCCCCAAAAAGTCCTTGGCATCAAGATGAACTCCATTCGTTCTTATCAGATCGCGAACAGCGGCTTTGTTTTCGCATTCCACAGCGATTTGGAGTGGGAACATATGGTAATTGTTGGGACCTGCTTTTTTGTTGAGTTCCAGCCCACCTTGCGCGAGGAGATACTTGAGAAACTCTTCGTCGCCTCCTAGGATGGCATAGAAAAGTGGCGAGTAACCGTAGCTATCCTCGAGGTTCAAATTAGTCTGCTGATCACATTAGCATGCCAAATATTTGAGTATACCTAAGGTAGCAGGAGTTCGCTGACTTTATCAGTTCCCTTCAAAAGCTCAAAGATCCTAATCAGACCAAAATATGCTGCAAGATGTACTCCACAGACATCTCGAGGTGGCGGCCTCCAATAGAATAACTTGAAAGCAAACTTGCTCTTGTCCAGGGGTAAATGGAATGATGAAGAGCGATTATATCCTCTGTCAGTAAGGAAGCTGAGTGTATCCTGGTCCGGGGGATATGTGTATTTCGCGTGATAACCCCAATTGCAAGCGGCGTAGTCGTAAAGCGGATTTTCGCTGGTGATAAGTTCCTTGACCATCTCAAAGAATCGGTATCCTTGAGACCGGGAGATCTCGGCCTTTTCTTTCGTGTCCAGATGTATCCGCTCGAGATGTTCCTCAAACGTGAACTTAAATCTATCATAAGAAAGATACGCAACGCAGGATGTCGATAAGAGCCTCTGTGCTTCGGGCATCCAACGTCCCTTCGTTCTCTCGAAATATTCCTGGGTTGTGTAATGAACCAAACGAATAATCTGACTCTCCTCATCAATCGTGACTAGACCAGCACATGCTGAGACAACATCCTCCAGCTCAGGAATGTTGTCGTCGTCTAGTTCGATCGTCCCTATCTCCACGGCGAGAGCGTGTTGCAGCTCAATGGTTTTGAGTGGTCGCCGAGCGCACACTATCCAAGAGAGCGCGTCTATTTCGAGTGACTTTTGGTCTTCGAGCTGTCGATCGATGCGCTCCATGGCATTCTCATACGCAACGTCATACGCCTCGGAACCGCTGGAAAGTTTGCAAAGCGCTTTTTTGACAGCTTTGGCTGAGCGTTTGCCTTGTAGTGAATCCAAATGAAGTTGCGCCAACAAAAACCTTGTAAACCGAAATTAGTCAAGCCCGATTCCATAACTTGTTAGGTGACTCGTATTGCATACATTCCTTGGACGGCTTGGACGATAGTACTCTTAATCTGGTCCTGTAAATCTTCGTTCTTTCTCACAGCTAAGGGAAGCTTGGATATTTGTCCATCCAGAAACTTCATCACGTCTCCATCAACAGCCCGTATTTCGATGTGGGGTGAACCGCCGAAGTAGCGCTCAATTTCTGGTATGTGCCTAGAAGTCGCAAAAATGTTGATACCTGATGTTTTCTGCAAGTTCAATATAGCTTCGAGTAACATATTTCGATTGTCGTCGAGTTCATCCAGGGCGTCGATGACAACGTACACTCTGCTAAATTGAAGTACCACGGCTTTAAGACAATGTATTATGTCTTGTCTCGACGCCGAGAATGTCTCGCTCTCGTAGGTTTTCTCTACTATTCCGCACTCTGCTGGCGTCGTGCAATAGAGTTGCTTCAACATACTGGCAAGCAAGTCACGGGGTGTTTGCTCATCGTGCCGTCGGAAATTGCAAAACATGAAGCTGACTCCAACCAACGAGTTTCCCTCAAACTGGCGTTTGAGATGCTCGACGACGATGGACGAAAGCATAGTCTTCCCAGCACCAGGCATTCCGGGACAAAATAGTGTTCTTCGATCTCCAAGGACCCAGGCTTCGAACTCTGGGGATTCAAGAAGCCATTTTCCAGTTCCCTCTTGTCTCCTATCGAGGTTATCAATCTGCTGCGTTGTGAAGTCGATTGGCGTTATTCTATCTAGAATCTGCCTCTTTTTTTCGTCTAAATGTCTTCCAGCAAGATCTCTTTTCAAAGACCGGACTTCGAGGTTGGTATTCACCGCAAGTGTCGTATTGTCAATCGAGATCATGCTGTTTATCACTTGGCACCGGCGCTGAAGGTTTTCAATTGCTGATTGCGTCATTTCGCCAGAGAACATCGCCTTGATCCGTTGCCAGCCGAAGCGGCTTCCCTCAAGCTGCTTCTGTAGCCCCTCAAGAATACGAGCAAGTTCGTCTTGACAAGCAGAGAGGAGGCTTTGATCGTCGGGACTGGAAAGTGTCATAAGGTTAGACAGCACTGCAGAGTGCTGGCCCTCAAAGGCTGCGATAAAGTCGGGATTCTGGACCAGAAGGCTTGAGGTTTCCGAGAGAGTTTTGTACAGCCCATCCATCTCATTCTTGAATTTTTTGGCGTCCTCGGGAGCATCACGCCAGCTCAGGCCAAGTTTCGTGCACGTGGTGACGATCTGAGCCACCACGCTGATGATGCCGATGATTCCTGACGGATCCATGTTGACAGCTTCGTAATGATTAGTGATGGTAGAAAGAGTGCGAAATGGCTAGAAAAAGTCATTGGAAAATGGTGATGTGAGATGAGGGGAAACCAACGTCAAAGGCAATCTGCCTAGCCACAGGCCCTCGAATCCAAGTCACATCACAAATGGCGCAGGTTCAAAATCTGCATACGCATGCAGTTCGTACATTCCACAGCCCCAACGAGCCAATCATTGCTGTTAAGACTCATCAATTTGAATGTGGCCCCTTGTTGTTGGCCATCTGGCCACCTTTGTCCGCCTGATTCGCCATGCAAGCGCTCGTAGTCCAAGTAGCTACCCGATTGGTTGTTTTGCTTTCTGCCCTTGTGGGATTTGACTGATGAAGTGCTTTGGTTCGATCGCAGTAACTGAACTTGTCACCTGAAGCTCGTTTCGCAGCTCTTCGACTACCACGCTGTGTGGCCCCCATCTACACGGACATCAGAACCGGTCATGAAACTGCTGGCATCGCTAAGCAGAAAGGTAATTGGACCTCTGTACTCATGCGCCTCACTCAATCTCATCAACATATTGCCGTTGGTCCATTCTCTCTCCATATCAGGATTGCTGAGTGGTTCTTCCGTCATACATGTACGGATGTACCCAGGCGAGATCGAGTTCACCCGAATGAGTGGTATATCTGCGCGGCTGCCCCATTCAGCAGCAAGAGAACGAGCCATCTGAACAACTGCCGATTTTGAGGGATTGTATGCCACGGTATCAACACCCTTGAAATTCGGTTAAAGTCTGCGTACGCCTTTGCTATTCCATTGACTTACCTTGTTGCTCCCGTGAGCACTCATACTCGCAATGAGGACAATACTTCCAGCCGATCCTTGCCTCTGAATCTCCTGGGCTGCAGCTTGTGCGCAGACGAGTGTTCCAATAACGTTGACGTCTATGATACTTCTCGCCGTGTCGATCGGAAAGTCGATGGATGGCGCGTCACCTGAAATTCCTGCACAGGCGACCAAGCCTCTTAAAGGGAACCGTGACTTCTTCATGGACTCCGCGAAGACAAATTTGACGTTTTCTGCGTTCGTGGTATCGCACCTATAGTACCATGCTTGTGTTCCATGACTCTTGGACACGTTCAGCACACGATCTGTACGGGATTAACAATCAGCTTGGTCCAGGAGCCGCAACGGTCAAGAATCTGTGTAACCTTACTCCAGGGCTCTTCTAGAGGGTTCTCTTGTCGGTCAATGCATATAACATCGCCGCCACTCTCCAGTACAGAGCGAGCAACTTCTAGGCCCATAGAACCTCCACCGCCAGTGACTACCGGTGTTAGAAAATCCAGGTATTTGAGGAAACATGGGTTTCCGCACTTAATACAGTCCGCCCGTCAAGTCTGAAGAGCTCATTCACTGACCTCTGCGGGTCACCCACTGATGGCTTGGTTTCTCTGACGCTCAATGACATCGTCACCCACGGAGAAATAGGACTGATGATCGCTGGTCAAGCTCGATTTCAACCACGCAACAGGGTTTGTATCAATATATTCAGGGAAATCATAGACCGAGCGAAGGTCTGCTAGAAGGTTGGCGCCTCGCCCTCGTTGATGTAGTGTTGAGATTAGAAATGCGAGGATGATGATTTCCGGTTAAACTTCAGTCTTCACCACAAGTCTACTTCCCCGCATCTGCGCCTTGGTTGTCCGCAGTGCACAGATTCACTTCTGGCATCTCATTTGACGCTTTAGCACGTTAATTTCTGCAGGAGACATCTGCTTTAATCAGTCACATGCATTTCATTGATGTGGACGTTGGCCATACAACCAGATTCGAGCCTTGTTGACGAAGACCTCGAACGTAAATCAGTATTGCGCCAAGATAAGTTGTCTTTAGTGCGCTTCCAAACATTACCCTATTCTCTGCTTTCTCCTTACCCACACCTCTTTATCGATACTTTCTATACCTGGAACATCCTCTCCTATCGGTATTGCACCTATTGATGCGGTGTCACGCAACTGAACCTCCCAGATACCCAGCTTATATCGCGCGCGGTCTGCCATTCCAGAATGCAGATCAAACGACCAGCCATGCTTGGGACATGTCAAACCTGCGCTCAAGACGATCCCGAAATCTTCAATGTCAAACGGTGTCCCATGTGAAAGCGGATACGAAGAATGTGGGCATTTCTGATATGGAAGTTAGGTCATACTCGGATTACAAAGGCACGTGTTCATGGGGCGGAAAGACTCACATGGTCGACGGCGTGAAATTTGCCCTTGAACTTGAAAACAAGTACTTGATCTTTCAGATCACCCTCAAGCTCAGCGTAGTTGAGAACATCAGGGGCCAAGAGTACCTCTGTACTGCGCGGAGGATCCGACTTCCGCACTTGGAACACCTTGCAACCGGATTTTAGATCTGTACCACAAAAACGCAGATCTGATAGGTTGCCTTCATCGATCCCAAGATCGGGGAATGAAGAGTCGAGGCCGGCGAAGAACCATCCTGCTGAGGACCGCGATCGCCCTCCGAAGGCATTCATCCCTCCTCAATTCGGAAGCGAGACTCTTAGCATGGATTCGACGGATTCTGATCGGTGCTTATCGGGATCGCGAAAGTAGCGGTGTTCCCGTGACATTTGTGGCGGTCATCGCGTCAAGATTGATTCCTTTGATGATTTTCGAGAGGTCACGTGCTCAAACACGTGAATGGGACCATCATAACTAAATCCGCTGGAGTCTCACATCGAGGACGCATCAAGCTCAGATGCTCCCCCAGAGAATGTAACATTGCCAATCTGTCATGAGGTCATTTATTGAAGCAAGATCCTTCTGTGTTCGTTGCGATGGATCCGTTTGTCTCTTCATGAGCGCTGATCGAGTGTGCACCCGTGAAAGAGGTGCAAATTGATTTTGCCTTACATGGAAAAATATCTAGGTCTCATCAAGTCTCCGTGTCAACTATCGCAGAAGCAATAGAGAGGATACTTTGCCCATATTTATTAGCATGGATCTTCTAGCATAAGTGTTTGGTTGATGGGATCTATTGGGGAAAATGCTTAGCCAAGTTCGAGAGCTAGGCAGCTCGCCGAACCTACCATTTCCGGCGGCCCGGCCCTTGCTGAGGAGTAAGCATATCCTCTTTCCACGTGGGTACAATGTGTTTACTGAGTTCAAATGTAGTCTAAGAAGGCCTAGACTCATGACAGCTTGTCAAGGTAACGTAATGAGGAAAGGGGAAGGGGTGACTTTCTGGAGACAGCTGTGGCTGTATATCTAGACTCTTTCCGCTCAAGAGTAAGCCGCCACATTAGAGCCTTTCGAACACCAGGGCGCAGAGATTGGGTGTTTCTAGAGTGTTGAAGAATACCAGGAATGATGATGCAGGGAACTAAAAATCACCATTGTGCGAATGGGCCGTCTGATTAACTGGTCAGCCGTCAGGAACAACGTTGTTGTTGACTCGGCTGGTCCTCACATTTTGTTGAGATACATCCCTGCTCAATGTTTCTCTCATAATCCAGCAACATGAGGGTAACAGACAAAGAGCGTCGAACATACCTGTCCGAGACGTTGGTGTCTTGGCTGTCTCGGGTCTGGTAAGAGATGACAACCCGACCCGGAAACCGCCTCAAACGATCTCTCCAATTCCATGTACTTGATTTTGTAAGTAGAATGTCCAACATGGTTAGAACCGTGTGCCACGCGGAGAGTCTCTTCTTTTTTAACAATGAGCCCGGGTTCTAGATCCAACATCATTGCCGCACAGTTTCCTGTTGAGTCAACTCCCGCAACGCATGGCTCGCAACATGACGCGTTCTGGTGTTCGTCACCCGACTTCTCGGAGTTCTTGGCACGGGTACAGGTGCCATGGGCGAAAGGGCCGCTTTGTGTCGAAGCCCGAGGCTTATCGTGGTACCCTCTCTTGTGGGATCTGCGGTCTATTGAGTCCTTGACAGCAAAAGGGCCATTGCTAATTCGTCGCTTTGCGAAGTGCGATTGCGAGTCTAGCTAGATGCGAGTTGGACTAGTATAGGTCCCAGACCCCCGGGACGTCGATCGGCCTGGCCGTTTAGCCCGGAACGTCTGACTGGTATCAGCAAAGACACATGGCATGGCGCCTCCCTACCACCTCCCTTGCCCGCGTTGAGATCTCTCATAGCTGAACGCGGCATAGTTTACGGCCGGGCCAGGATAGGGCGATCCCGCGTACCCCACATTCGGGATGTCAACTGTATGCCACGATGAAGAATATTGCCTCTTAACCCATTTTGTATAATGCGAAGCGAAATGCTAAGGAATCAAAGGACTGCAGGGACTGTCAGGTCTTGTCTGAAGCACCTCCACCTTCTGGATTGATCCTAACGTCTTGAATTAGATCCAATATCAAGGGTGTGTGTTTGGACGGCTCCACGTGTCTCATTTCCTTCTTTTACGGCCGTCGTGCGCTTGGCTGGATGATCACAGACGCAAGCGGCAACTCCTCATTCGACCGCTCACGGAATGCGTCCAATGCATAAGTACAACCTCCTGCGCCCCAAGATCTCAACGTCTTCTCCAAGCATCCAAGCTGTCTCATCTGGCATCCGCCCTCGATCCCTAGCGCCTTTGCCCTCAAACTCTCACATCGGCATCATGTCTGCGACTCATCTTCCGAACGGCTACAAGTCGTTCGGCCCGAAGGCCAACTGTACTCTCGAGGTGTGCCCGCTGGAGGCTAGTCTTCTACGTTATCGCCCATCGGTGCCAGTCAACGGAACGTTCATCGGGCTCTTTGCCCTGGCTATGATCATACATACTATCCAGGGTCTTCGATCAAAGAACTGGGGATTCATGGCTAGCATGATTGGTGGATGTCTACTCGAGATTGTTGGCTACGTTGGAAGACTAATTCTCAACGACAACCCATTTTCTTTTGGCGGGTTTCTTCTGCAGATTAGTAAGTCCCACCCAGAACCCGATGGTTTGACTGGACCTAATCTCCTCTTGCTACAGTCTGCATTACTGTCGGTCCAGTCTTCTTCTGTGCTGCTATCTATGTCATGCTATCCAAAGTGTAGGTCCATCCTGCAACCACTATCAATCATCCAGTCGCGACAACTCTGACTAATTTTGGGAGCGCAGAATCATCCACGTCGATCGATCGATCTCTAGATTCAACCCGAAATTATGCTACTTTGTCTTTATCCCGTGCGACATCGTATCGCTTATTCTACAAGCGACTGGCGGTGCTCTATCCAGCATTGCGAGCGATAAGGCAGCTGTGCAAAGGGGCGTCAATGTCTCGTTAGCCGGGCTGATCTTCCAGGTTGTCTGCCTAGTCGCCTTTTGTGCTCTCTTCGCGGACTACCTCATTATCTGCATGAGGACAAACGCTCGACAACGCATGACGAAAAACATGAAGATCTTTTTGGCATTTCTCTTCATCTCTACTATTCTGATCTTGGTACGATGCTCTTACCGTATCGAGGAACTGAAGGAGGGATACTTCAGCCCAATGTTCCGCGATCAGCCCTTGTTCATTGGACTTGAATCTTCGTGAGTCTTTCTACCTCCGGGATACTGCTCGATGGTCTGGCTAATTTGCGTCCAATCCTAGTGTCATGGTAGTTGCAGTATTCTGCTTGGTCATCGGGAGCCCTGCGATTGGCTTCAGCACGACCGGGGAGAGAAAAGAATCGACCGCGTCAGAAGCATTCGATCACCTTCCATCGCGGCAGGATAGCATGCCTATGGAGATGAGCGGCAGAAAGGACACGCTGCCGGGCTCGATTGATGTATGAAGCAGATGACGCCTACGAAGAGCATTCACTGTACTGTTTACTCACGAAGATACCACAAGTTTCAACTTTGCCTTCCTTTTTGAATAATTCGATTCGAGCTATTCGTAGTCTGACATCACGCTGGATCCTAAGCTCTTCAATCCTATTTCCATGATTGAAGACTCTGATAGAAGCCATCACAGAGTATCCCTGCATCATTTTGCAGTATATTTCGGCATCTGACATACCACAGTGACTCCATTTTGGTGGGCTACAATACATGGGATCTCTAGAAACACAAATCGGCAGCCTCTGCTCCTCAGCCAACTTTTTCTTCTAGTCTTTTTCGAATTGAATTGCTTGAAGGAAGCTTCTCGTCATCGATCGTATCAGACGTCCATCTTCTTGCTCGGAGTACTGGAACTCGGGGTCTGTGGAGTTCCATCCCCATCTTGGCTCGTTGTTGGCGCGACGTCCACCACAGGGAGGCCACACCTTGTGCATGAGGGCTCATTCGCAGATTCGCAACCGCATCTTCTCGAGCTGGGGAATGATGAGCACTGGGCTTTCTGTAGAGGTTTTGGCACGGTCCACTTACAATCGCGTGATAGAGAGCGCATACCACAGCGCCATCAGAATCAGAGTCACTGCGGTGCTAATGCCGAACCAGATCAGAAAGACCGAGGTTTCGGAATCCATCTTGAGTGATACAGTCTCGGTTGCTCGATGTTATGCTCGACTTTCTAGTTTGGGAGGTCTTGGGGTTACTGTGAGTGCGGCGCTGGTGTGCTCCTGTCTTCGAACTTGCTGATTCTGCTTTGATGGGTTGGGTGGTGGACATGAGAAATTCAGCGTCATCGATCGTGGGAAACTGCTTCTTATTAGACACAGGCTGCATCCAAAAAGGTGCCCTGATGTCTTAAAGTTCAAGCCTGATGGCTGACGACCTTGAGGATCTGCAGCCACAGTGGCAGCACTGCTAGAACCCTCCTGGTTAATCAGAGCCTAACAGTGAAATTATAAAGATGCAGCGGCGACCACCTCGCTCTTTTCAAGTGTTTTCTGACAGACGTAATTTTTTACCAGGCCCACTAGATCATGAAAAGATAGAACGTCGGTGCAGACCAAGATCAGCATGTGCTGCGAAATTTATATAGAAGGATCAGTAAAATCTCAACTTTTCCGGGAGGAAACTTGAGGTATTATATCCGTCCTGCAAAGCACTTCGACGGCTCCAGGGCTAGTCGCTCTCAAACCCCCCACACGTCACTCAAGACATTCGTCAAATATAGCGGGTCAAAGATGACATTGTGTTTGTCAATACGCATTCTTCATGAGAGCAATACTTGACATGTTCTATGATTCAGCATACTGTAGCTTGACGCTGACTCCATCTCTGGGAACCATGGTAAAGTGGATGTCTTTTCTCGGCTCGCCTGGCGGTCCAATCCACTCCATGCTCTTGAACCTTTGGATGAGTCTGACCAAGAAATATGCAGCCTCTGTGAGAGCGAATTGTTCTAAGGCAAGTTAGCATTCCTCTCACACTACTGAACATAGAAATTGTTAGCGGATATGGGATGACTTACGTCCCAAGCAGATCCTTGGACCACCACTGAATGGAATATAGTTCCAATCTAGTCGGACACCCTCCCATCGCTCCGGCTTGAACTCCATCGCATCCGCCCAGATATCCGCTCGTCGATGCAGAAGATACGGCACAAAGGTGACGGTCTGGCCCTTCTTGATCACGATGGGCGATAACCCATCAGCTCCGCCACCTCTTGGCAAGACCGTATCCCGTACCGCATACCGGCTGTTAAGCGGCGCGACATTGTACACTCTTAACGTCTCCCGCATCACAAATTGAAGATATTGTGAAGACTTGAGCGTCGCAAAGTCGATACCCTCAGGTTTCTCAGAGTATTCCCCAAACTCCGCCACCACCTCTCCCCGAAGCTTCTCAAACACAGCCGGGTGCCGCGCAAGCATCAGCAGCACCCACGAGAGTAAAGATGCCGTGGTATCCCGGCCCGCCAGAAGTATCCCTAGGATCTGGTCCCGCAGCTCCCCGCGGTCCCGCGTTTTCTCTACGAGGGTATCCAGCAAGATGAACTTGTCCGTCGACGGCTTCGCGCGCTTGAGAGCCAGCTGGACGTAGTGGTCGACGTATCGACGGATGTAGTCAATGGACTTAGTGCCCACGCTACTTGGTGCCAAGAAGTACAGCCACTGCAGCCGGGCGCGCAGAGCGATGTACATTTGCGCCTCGTGGAAGGCCGATGCGAAGGACATTTCACTTCCTGCCTGGTCAGCCGCCATAGCCGTGACCGCACTTGTCGATGTCGACATCTTGCCTAGAGCAGCGGCCGTTTGTGAATCGACCGTTTCGCCAAAGAGGAACCCGGTTGCCGTGTCGAGGGTGAAGCGGAAGATCAAGGGCATGATATCAACAGACAGGGCGCCGTTGTCCGTCTTCTGGCCAACGAATGGCAGGGCCCGGAACAGAGCTTGCACGGCACGTTCCGTACCTTCGAGGTCGTTGATGTTCTCACGCGAGAACTGCGATCGAAAGAGCGATCTTGAATGTTCCCACAGGGGACCATCGTGGGTGAAGATGTTGTTGCCCTCTAGCGGCTTGAATTGCGCGATTCTGCGCGGGCCGAGCTCAAAGTCTCGGAACTTCGTCGCAAGGATGGCCTGGATGTTGACTGGTTCGATAGTATTTACCTCGGCTGGGCCGAAGAGGCCTGTAGTGCTGAAGGTGTCACCGCACTTTTTGAACTTTTGGGCAATGACATCGTCGAGGATGTCGCCGCCGCTGCGCACCACCTTGACGGCGCGCCAGACATTGTCGATGCCGAAAGGGAGCTTTGAGGAAAAGTGCTTGGGAAAAGTCGCGCCGTTTGACTTGGCAAAGAGAAGAATGCGGCGACGGGCGAGGAAAGTTGAGACGACGTAGTAGATCACGAATGCTGGAAGCGCGAATAGCACTACTGGCAAGGAGAGAAGCGCCATGATGGGAGTCTGTCTAGCGCCCGATATCGACAGATGAAAAATTTAGATGACCCGTCGTACATCGTTCCAACGAGCCGGAACCCCACGAGATATATATCCCTCTCACGATGCCTGTCAAAATGGCGGCAAGGATTGGCACTAGTCGTGCAAGGAAGAGGTGGGTTTAATCCCCGTTATCGACCATGATCCGCACTGGCTTCCACTAAAACCCCAGCTCTCTGAAGTTTCCGAACTGACGAATCGTAGCACTCGCTACTGCGATTACCCGGCGCGGAGATCGTGGGCAATAAGAAGTCCGTCTCTACCCCATTGTTATACCATTCAAGTATGCTTTCGTTTTCGTTTTCGCGATTTTACAGGTTGTAGTACTGATGGAGACACATGAATGCCAAGGGAGGAACAATCGTTGGCCTTGTGTTTGTGTTGTATCGACTGACGACAACCTGGACAAACTTCATCTGCAGGAAAAGCATATGCCCCACCAAATATTGTTTGCTTGACTGATCATAGTTGGAGTTCATAGCTTTGGTGCCCGAAGTGGTATCATGCCTCGGCCGGCAGAGCTCAAATCTGCGACAACCTTTCGGCGCCGGGATTTGAGCTGCGCATGTCTTGGTTCGGACTCCAAAGGACTAGAGCTCGGACTGCGTGGGGTAGCGGTCTAGATTTATGGAGCCCCCACAAAGTAGGTTCGCGATATTGATTCATCATGGTCCACACGAGATGCAAAACATGACTCGAATTTTTGTAGAGATGTCTGTAAATTGAGGTTACGTCTGGGTATGGTTCTATCGTGTATGAGATTGATGGTTCTTCGACGTCGAGACGAAATAAGGTTCTGACCATCAAGTCCGAGGAATGGTAGCATTTAGCGGCGTAGCATCGCTTTAGAGTTCGCGCCTTAGGACGTGCGAGGGCCGCCTCACGACTCCGAATGGGAACGCGTGCGTTTTATACCATCTTACAGGTTCCTGTTCGTCAGGCTTTAGTTTATTACGTATTTCAGACAAGAATAATAGCCACCAAGCGCTTGGCGCAAAAAAGACCTCTGACACTCGCATCGTGGTTACAAGGAAAGGTGATTGACAAATTGATTGAAATCGAGCTGACTACCTATGACTATTAACAAATGTTGAGCCCACTTTATGCTTCTGTTGGTACTGGTGCGTCTTGAGTTTGGAATAATTATTCTAGTCACTCCACATCCCTTCGCATCAACGAACGTCGAGTCTCGCTACGTTTCCCAACGAATAGGTACTTAGAGGCTCATTCACTAGATGTGTACAATGTAGGAATTTCGAAAATGCATTGATCCCGCTAGTGTTAGAGGAGAATAGGACTTGGAAGGGGGAGCGTTGGAAATAAAATTTAAAAGAAATCTCTTGAAGCAATTGGGGCCGCAACCACATTCAGTGAATTAGGCGGAAATTGAAGTGTATATAATGCAGAATTTCATATCTCCGAAATCAGTTGTCGTCATTGCTTAAGTGCCTTCGAGCCATGACTACCTTATACCAACACCTTTGACACACTGGATTCTGCACCGCGGGTTAACCGTGTGTTAAACACAAACGGTGGTCTCCCAACAAGAGACGACCTGACTCACGGAAGTGGCTTGACTTCGAGTAATATGTAGCGCGACTACCATCATGCTCCACGTTTGGCAAAAGAGTTCCAATCCAGTCTTAACTGAACGTCAAAAACGAACTTTTGGGCAAGGAAGATCGCCTGAAGGCTAAAAGCAATACGTAAGGCATCAATCGTGCGGGAGGGCCCGCAGACCTGGGAAGATGGGCTGATGGAGAGACGGGGCTTTCGGTAGATCTATGGACACTGTTGCACAACTACAAGGGCCGAAAACAATAGCAAGATGATGATATTTTGAGTAGGCTCCAAGCAAGGCCTTGGGGACAGGTAGCTGCCCCTTATAGCGTCTCTGCGTAACGCAACGGCGGCTGCCATAACCTCTCTGAAGCCGAGTTGCTGGTCTCCCTATCCTCCCATTGTCTTTCCTTTCCTCCCTCAAGATCAGTAGCGCCGTCGATGCGCTTCCGTTTCTTCGCTCACTGATGCCTCGGCCGGTGGGAGCCGAATTGCTTCTCGAACTCAGCCAATGTACCTGCCATTATAGTCTCGTGGTAGGCTTTGCTGGCTGTAGCATCGGTGCCTTGGTTGTGGATGTGGTGCATATTGCTGTGGCCAGAAGACTGACTGTACGCGGAGATTCGATGTTCGGATAGAGCGCCGTTCGATTCCGTGGTCGAATGCGTGTGTGGTGTCCTTCCCGATGTACTCCTAGAGGCATTGCGTTAGCACTTTGCTAGTTATTGTGCCATTACTGACATATGATCGTTGATAGAAGTACCCATATCGAATCGAATCTGTAGAGCTCATGTTGAATCTTGAAGTCAAGGCGGTTTCGACGACCACCCGGGTGGGAAGGGAGTGGTATTATTCGTGGATTAGGACGCAATGGAACTCCCTATGGACATTTCACCGTGCCGAGAACGTTGAGAAGCTGAATGGTTTTGCTTTATTGCGCATGGTCACCGTGTCAATGTTTGGGCGGCGGTTCGGTCAATTTAAGACCTTGTACCTGGCGACCCAGGCTGCAAAGTGGAAAATCCTATGTTCTGACTTTTTGGTGTTAAAATACGGATTCGTCTTGAAAACTCCAAATGTTGAGCTTGGTCATTGAATCACCCGCCAATACCCATCGGCCACCAAGTAAGGCAACTCGAATCCAAGTAGAGATGTGCATTTCTCTATTTTCTTCTCATGTCGGTGTAGATAGCTATGGTAGGGGTTGTCCCCTGCTAGTGCGGATTGGACATTGTCGACCCCGTGGGGTTAACCTCGATAAAAGCATTTCCAGAATGGACCTTACGATGCGCCAACACAACTAGTGACTTTGACGAGTAGAGCATAGTCAAATAACAGAAATCGCCATGACCGAGCTCCAGGCACAGGTATGTTAGTGATACTGAGGCCATCGTCGTCTTGGGAGTTGATAGACTCGACGAAACAGGCAAGGGTACCTTACCGAAGGTGCTGCGACACCAAGACTTGCTCAGCGATGGGATGAAGCGTGTTACGAATGAGAAGAGTCTTGACATGAGACAAAATGATGTTGACAAGATGGTAGCACGCCGGAGGAAGTATCCGGATGATCAGGTCCGATCTTCCGGAGACGGGGTGACTTCATGTCCGGATCACCCCGGGGTCGGGTGACGTCCGGGCTCGGACATCAACTCGGACGTCCCGGTTTTGCAGGTGGATCGGACGGGATAGACTTGGTTCCGAACTTTCGGTCCCTATCAAGTCCAGATTCTCGAAAAATGAACATCACTTGATGCCGCAGTAACTAGCCATTCGTCCCTGCAGCGCTACGAGCTTTGATCATCCATTTCCAGAATCATCGGAAAGAAGCTTAACAGCAAGGAAATATCGTATACTGTACTGCGTGCTGGGACTTGACAATATCGAGGCCCTTACGGATACGCCCCTTCAATTCGAGACCGAGATCACAGGCCGTCTGACACGGATGAACTGGACTCCAATCTTTGCCGGCCTGGTTTTTCCGGGAGGGTGGAAAATACGGTTGATTTGATGCCTCGTTATCTGGGCCAAGAGTCCAGACAGGATATTGTGACTTGGCGGTGTGAAAACAGGGCGATGCTGCATGTGGTGAGAGTCGACGAGGCCCAATCGATACTCTCATACGAGCCATATGATTCACTTGGTTGGTTCTGCGTGAACATTGCGTAAGACGTTCCAACGCGCCTCGTCTAGTAGCGTGGACGCCTCGTGCGGGGTTGGGCTGCCTTGTTTCTTTGCCTGATTTGAGGCAACGATAGATCGCCATGTCCGCCAGAATGGCTGCCTCATCTCTCTTGAGATGGTTCGCCATCACTCAAGTCAGGTGATGCTTCGGATCGGACGTGGTAGTGGATACCGGATGTGGGTCCATTCTCGGCATCGGAATCCTTCGCAGTGATTTCGAAGTGTTTCTCGTTCGAGATGGCGATGTTGACAGCGATGCGATGGCCGAGGATTGCGCTTGCTGAAGCCGCGTGAATCTGAACGAGCGTCCATAAGGTCAGCCAAGGGAACTTTGAGTCGATATGTAATTCTTACCGCGCGTAGAATCTTGAAGGAGAGCGAAGCTTCATACCAACAGCTCCCGGACGAAAGCTGCGGGAGGCCTTCCAAAGCCAACCTGAGCTCAACGAAAAAAGAGCGTATTGCGTGTAAATAAATAGGTGTCGAATTGTAGAGATTGAGGGAAATGCTTATTTTATATGATTCTACTCTGTTAGAAGCAAGGAACGTGTTTCTGGCAAAGGCGCGGCTAGGCGCATCATTCAAGATATAATTCCACCTTGAGCCCGGTCATTATGCACGTACGGACACGGACACGGACACGGAAGTCGTTGGACATCGGCCAAATCAACGAACCATTCCGTCTAAACCAGTTCAGAACTGTATGGTTAAAATCAGAACAAGCCGAACTTCGTCGACCCCGAAACCGCCTCGTCAGTCCTGGCTACAGGGGTGTGCATATGCACTCTGCAGCGCCCGATGATGATGGCCCTCCCTCAGCAAATCCTTCTCTCGAACGTTTCATTCTCATTCGCCGACGTATCACCCCTGCCACAGTCCTGGTTCCAGGGGTGCGCATCTGCGCTCTCGTGTCTCGCCATCCTCCCCATAACCTTGTCTTTGACTTTTCAATGTACCCTCCCGCGCCGTGTGAAGATTACAATGCTCTGTGTCCATTGGAATTTGTAGGACATAATGCCTGAATTATTCTATTGACTCTGGAGAATCACGGCAAAATAGACCTCAGAAGCTTCAAAAATCTGGATTGATGTTTTGTGGAAATTGAATTCGCTGGTAGCTATGTGTAATGGCTTTTTGCTTGAGTAGCATAAATTGGAAGGATGCAGTGTAATCTTCACACAGATTCTCAAATGTCCCGAATAAAAGGAGACTGCCCAATCAATGCACATGGTACTGTATCTACCACCACACCATCCCGGACATTCACACCGGACTTTCAGACGAAGAGATCAATGTGCAGAGATACTTGGTGAACTAAATGCACGGTATTTCCAATGCGCATCAGTCTGCCTGAAATTATGCCTCTGCGGCCCAGAGCCATTTGTTCAGATTTTTGTCCTTCAAGGGGTCTTTGGGTAATGCACTGATGGTTGATCGAGGAAGGGAGGGAGAAAAAGAGACAGACGGAGAAAGGGAGGGAGAGGGAGGAGGCAGGCGACTTGTGAAGGAATTAACCCCCGCATGACAGCCATCATGCACGCCGAAGCGATGTGGGTTGCAACCAACCTGAACCTTGCAGCCCTGCATTAGTACCTTATACTGCCCATACAGTAGTACATACAGAATGACGAACGTCATGCCTCAAATATCTAGAGTAGGCTTCATCAGTGCCTATCTACACCTGAATAAATGGTCAGATTGCTTCATACAGACAATCGAGCTGCCCTTATGGATACAGGATTAACTCCCTGCTGCGTCTTTTTGCTCCAGGCTATGAAAAGTAAGGTAGTCTTGCCGAGATTGCCTGACAAACAATGCCGCCATCGTGTGTGCGAGACCGAGGGTATCCGCATCTCCTGCAAAGGGCCAGGTCTGCATCCTGTACAGCGCATTGAAACCATCAATAGGCTAGTAGATGTCAAGCTGTACCCGGTCATACCGTAACTCGATGACCAGGCGGCCAATGTGGCAAGACCAGCACTTCAGGCGACGAAAGGGAAGGCAGTGATGAGGGCGGCAGCGGGCCTGCTAATACCACTCAAGGTGAACATCGCTTGTATCGGGGTGATCAAGAAAAGCCACTTGTAAATGCAAGTCGCATCGAGAATGTGCATGGTGCGGCTTATCAAGAAATACAGTACCGAAGGTATGAAGACTGAGCGAGTTTCAATAACGAAAGTACGCCCGGGGCGTGCTTCAGTGATAGAAGTCGCGCTTATTTGACCAACAAAAACCGTCAAACGTTTCTATTTTCGAGGTTCTCGCTCTGCTACTTACCTTGACTTGGGTATACCTTAATCCTGATTGTGGTTATATACATCATCGTCCCATCAAGGTACTCTTATTTACGTTCTCATCATGCGGCGATTATATCTGGTTTGATGATACTTGTCATTCTGATGTCAAGTTACCTGCTCTGCCATCACTAATGGATGGCTTTGGATTATTGAACAAAAGCCCTGGCCAGGAAGGTAGTGCATGGAAAATACAATCCTAGTGGAAGAGCTGAGGACGGGTGTGGCAAGACAGATGGAAAGCACACACTTCGTGTGGTGTTTGTGATTTTCGTATTGAAATTGCATCTCGGCTTCCATTGGAAGCGCTGGGCTTCTCGGTCTTAGCCTGTATTGGTGGCTATGATTCAACACCGTATCTACAACACAGACTAGCGACCAAGGTTATTGACAACACTGCCAACCATGACAGCGACCTCCCGATCCCAGTTTCCCTCACCCCTCCCCTTCCCCTTCAATGCACTCGGCATTTGGCACCCTCTAACGACACACTCCCTCACAGCGTCTCCAACGCTCGCTCTGTTGGACCGCAACGTACGCGCAGACACTCCGCCCCTATTGACGATCTCTTGTACCCTCGTGCCCAAGTTCCCAGCCATCGTCCGCCAGAAGTAGCTCGGCAGACTTCCCGTCTCCAGGTACGCCAATAGAGGCTGTAGCATATTCGTCTGCTTCTGCGGCGCTGACACAAGCGGGTGTGCGGGCAACTTTGTCGACTCCAGTACGAGCTCGAGGGCGACGATATTCTGGCACCGGGCCGAAATCTCGGCGAGGGTGCGCTCGAGGGAGGGAAGTTGGCCTAGCGACCGCGAGAGCGAGGCGATGGATGATTGCAGTGCTGAGCGGAAATATGTCTCCAAGCTTTGCAGGAGTAGCTGCGGCGTCCATCGTTCCGTCTTTTGCGTTGATGACGGGGAGAGCAGGAAGAGCGTGACCATGGCAGATACTGTTCTCGCCTTGACTTCCTCGCCCTGCGCAAAGGTAGCCGAGTTGGGTATCGCAAAGTCGCGGATAATCTTCTCTGCCGTCTCCTTGACAGACCGCTCAACCGGGGTGATTATAGACTCTCGAAGAGTACGAATTGCATCGACCTTGCCCAGACCGTGACCTTCCTCCCCAGGCGCTGTGTTGTCAAGCACCTCCCGTAGCGACAAGATGGTGTGCGAGCATCGTACCAGCGCCCGGTGATCCTCCTTCTTCCCAGCAGCGGCAGCGGCAGCACTGACGCTAGACCCCGCGATCTCAGCGTGCTGGACCTCAAGCTGCCTCCCAAGCTGCAGACATCGTCCTACGGAGCGGCCAAGCTTCAGCGTCTCCCATAGGCGTGTAGCAACCTGCCGTACCTCCTCAGCCTCGGCATGCTTGTCAATGACCTCCTTCTCGAGCTGCTTATAGCTGTCGTTGAGGTTCTTGATCTGGGCGTCGAGCTCTGAAATAATGCGCTTGCTGGAGGTCGTCTGTTCTTTCGTATACTGCAGGAGAGGGGCTGCAGACTTTGTCGTCAGGACGTCAATGTGGGAATCGATTTCTTGGGTATCGAAGAGGACGCGCGAGAGGGGAGTCGAGAGATCGAGGGGCGCATCGTTGGGATTGTTCGTTGCGAGGACGAGGGTATTTGCGAAGGAGGAGGGGCTGAACTCGGGATCGAGGAAGGCTTCGTAGTCGATGTAGGAGGGGTCCTCTTCTTCGCGGGTCGTCATTATGGGCGGATATGGGCCATTGACTGTTGTGGAGGCAATGGGTGTTGGCGAGTCTATGGAGGGATTAGGCGTGCGAGCTTGGAGGGGAGAGCTCCTGGAATTGTTGATTGAGATGCTCAAGCTACAGCTGTCCTGTCTCGGTCGAGGGTCGGTACGTACTGCCTGGTCAAGGCCCGCCTTACATAAGTCAGGAGCATCAGCCACAGAAAAGGTCAGCCACACCTGCTGGGACCTCTGCCGCCCCGCAATTTGTTTCTTCCAGCCACAAGTTTAAACTCGCCATTTTCTCTTGCATTCACCAATGACGCCGTATACACTAACTTCATTATACGCGGATAGCTTCGGTCGAAAAGCATTTTCTTCCAGACCAGATGCTGAGCGATATACAGCAAGTACCGTCTTGCAGCCTGAAAGATGAATTTTCGCTAGATTCCCAGTGAGTAATCACTCTATCAAAATGTCATGATCAAACCATTTGCACTGCTCACTCACCTGTTTTCCTCTAGATCCCGGAGCTTCGGCATCTCCACTGACGATCCCAAAAGAGGGAAAAACAAAAAACACAAACCCGCCGCTCCCGGCCATTCCGTCTGGCTCCTCTCGGTTTCCCATCTTTTCCCGCCGCCGCCCGAACTCTTCCCCATTCCCACACCAAGCACCACTGCAGTCTGGCACCACTTTCGGCACCCAGTAATCCAGTGGAGAAGCAGTCTGTCATCAATGATCTGCGGGTAGCGGGTACCGTAGCGTCCCATCCCCGGCACCCCAATCACCAACCTACTGCGCTGTCGGTGGTCGGTCACTGGTTGTTGGTCACCAAGGTAGCGTGCCAATGCGCTGACTACTCGACCAAAAAACGCGCCTAACTGAAAAAAAATCCCCTCCCCCATCTCCGCCTTTCCGGGCGTTCCATGAACCATATTGTCATAATACATCATTTCTCGCCAATTCCTCTTCTTCCTATTCCTACACTTCCCACCTCTCCCCCGCCCTCCTCCTGTTCGACGCAATGCCCTCCCTAATTTAATCACCGTCGCCAATCTCTCGCCGAGAGCACGCACACTCAATCGATCAATTCCTCCCCGCGAACGACCGAAACCAAACATTGGACGACGGCCGATCGACGGAAACAATAACACCGGTCACAGGCCCCGCCCCCGAGCGACACCTCCGGACGACCCGGACCAAAACATCTCGACACCTCGACGTCCGATCACAACCTCGAGATAATAACCCGATCAGACGACGACGGCGATAACGTCTCAACCGCCCATCATGCTCCATTCCCGCGCCCTCCTCGCCTATCCCCAAGGCGCAAACGACTCCGACACAATCCTCGGCGGCGTCCACTTCAACCTCACCGTCCTCCGCTTCTGGAACTACACCCTCTACACAAACGGCACCGTCTCCAACGGCTCAAACTGCTACGTCACAGAACAACCCTACACGCCAGTCTACCTCCTCCCAAACGGCACCTTCCAAAACTCAACATGGTGCTACGACCCCGTAAACCCAATCGGCAAGCGCGCCGGCGTCGGCGTCGGCTTTGGCGTAGTCTACGCCTTCGCCCTCATGTTCGTCCTCGCGAACCTGAACCGCCACGGACGGCACTACCTCCCGACGACGAAGCGGTTCTACCCCATTGGACGCCGGTGGCAGTGGTACTACGCGATTCTGGTCTGCGTGTCGGCGTTCATCAGTCTGTTTACCAATATCGACGTCGATCGCTTCTACGTCATTGGGTTGCCCATCATCATCAACAGCTTCTTCTGGTACCTCATGCAAATGTTCACCATTGCGCTCGTATGGGAGGCCGTTCGTCACTGGGGAAGCTGGAGCGAGAGACAGGCCATCGACCCGGACCCCTTCTCCCTGCGCGAGGGTGACCGTCGCAGCAAGCTCGAGTTCTGGATGCCATTGTGGTTCTACCTATGGCTCTGGCTGGTATGTCCCCTCCCCACTCTATTGCCCCAAGAACATTGAAAACCTAACGAACTGTCTCCAGAACTTCTTCCTCATCGTCCCCCG